ATGCTCCTGTCCCACTGACGGTCCAACCCCAGACCCGTCCCACCAGTCACGGACGACAGCCCGACACCCTCCTTATGGACACGCCACAGACGGTCCAACCCAGAACCGTACCCCAACCCACCCTCAACCGTCACCTACGCCTCTCCAAAACACACAACCGGTTAACCGACCCCTGCCCCAAAACACACACACCATGCAAACCCGAGCCAAATCTGGAATTTTCAAACCTAAAGCCTATACCATTACCACCCTTGATACTACCCCACCTACCACTGAGCCTAGCACTTACTGCCAAGCCTCTGGTAATAGTTTTTGGTGTCAGGCTATGGATGAGGAGTTTATTGCTTTGAATGAGCAACATACATGGGACTTGGTTCCACCACCCAAGAACCGCACTCCGATTGGTTGCAAATGGGTGTATCGCATTAAACGGAATGCTGATGGATCTGTTTCAAGGTATAAGGCTCGTCTTGTCGCAAAATGTTATCATCAGGAGTATGACATTGATTACAAGGAGACATTCAGTCCTGTGGTCAAGCAACAAATAGTGCGCCTGGTCCTCTCTTTAGCACTCAACCGTGATTGGCCTCTTCATCAACTAGATGTTAGTAATGCCTTTCTTCACGGTACAGTGGACAAGGAAATTTATATGGAGCAGCCCCCGGGGTACATAAATCCCACTCATCCTCACTATGTTTGCAAGCTCCGCAAATCACTATATGGTCTCAAACAAGCACCCCGTGCATGGTACACACGCCTCTCCTCTTTTTTGCAGGGCCTTGGATTCAAGTGCTGCATTCATAATACCAGCTTGTTCACCAGACACTGCTCTCGTGGGACTATTGTTGTCCTTGTCTATGTTGATGATATTGTTCTCACTGGCAGCTCTTCTACTCTCATCTCAGAAGTTACTCAGGCCATGCACCGTGACTTCAAGCTCAAAGAACTTGGACCTCTTCATTACTTCCTTGGCATTGAGGTTCAGCGCACGCAAGATTCTATACTTCTCCATCAATCCAAATATGCCCGTGATCTTCTACGCCGAGCTGGGATGTCCGACTGTCATCCGTCTATTACTCCTATGGCTACGAGACCTATCACTAAGCCTTCGCTGCCTTTCAAGGATATTTCTCATTTTCGGAGCATTGTTGGCGGTTTACATTACTTGGCTGTCACTCGTCTAGACATTCAGTATGCTGTTAATCGAGTGTCTCAGACTATGCACAACCCCACTGAGCAGGACTATCATGCCTTGCAACGCGTTCTGCGCTATCTCAAAGGCACTTTGAATCATGGTCTTCTTTTTCGCAAGGGGGGATTCGACCTATCTGTCTACTCTGACTCTGACTGGGCCAATGGTAAAGATGATCGCAAGTCTACCACGGGCTACATACTCCTACTCGGTCCTAATATCATCTCTTGGTGCACGAAAAAGAAGACTCGTGTTTCTAGATCATCCACTGAAGCTGAATATCGAGCTATGGCTGCAGGGATTGCAGAAGCTATGTGGCTTCGATATATCACTGATGCACTGGGTATTCCTCCGTCCAAACCGAAGTTATACTGTGACAATGAGTCGACTATCTGTGTCACCAAAAATCTGGTTCTTCATGATCGCATGAAGCATGTGGGCACTGACTGTCACTTTGTACGAGATGAGGTTATGGCAGGCACTATGACTCCACATCATGTTTCCTCCTCAGAGCAGCTAGCAGACATTCTTACCAAACCGCTTCCGCCAGTTTCTTTTGAGTACTTATGTTCCAAGCTGCCCCTCGTCTCCGTTGATCAACTTGCGAGGGGATATTAGGAAGTATAATTAAATTAGGATACTTCTTTCCTTTCCTGCTAGGATTATTCTTTCCTTTCCTACTTGTACTTTGATTACTCTTGTATTCCCTATATCTAGGGTCATATCTCTCAATATTCAATAAGACAAGTTATTATCAAATTGTATCAGATATTATTGATATTTAATTTAAATATCTTAACTTTAAAAATCATAAAATTAGGCATCATTTAGTACATGAATTTGGAAATGAAAACCTTAACTTGAATTTTGTTGTTTGGTCGCACAAAATTATATGATATTAAAAATGAATTATAAATTTAAAAGATAAAAAACTAAAAATTAAAGGTTATTTTTTTTTACATTGAATATTTAGAAATTATAAATTATAATTTTTAATTTCAGATTTTTAAGTTATAAATTAAAATTAAAGGACTAAACTGACCGAATAGAATCAAGACAAATGATAAGAGAACAAATCAACAGATTAAAAACGAGAGGGATGAAAATGCTAGTGGAGATATGTAGAATTATTCATATTATTGATGTAGAATAATAACATATAGATTCTTAACCATTTCCAATGTGGTTAAAAGATATGTCGGTCAACCGCAAATCGAAAACTAAAAATCAGGGGATTGACAGTGAAACCGGAAACCAAAAACCGAAGTAACTGTCATACCAAGTCTGCATAAAACTGCTCACAACAAGGGAATTTTAAGCTAAAAAACTTTAAACAAGTACTCCCTCTGTCCCTAAAAACCTTTCTCCTTTCTTTTTTCATCCGTCCCAAAAAACACTTCTTATTTCTATTAAAAAGTCATTTTTACTCCTTACTTTTTCATACCCTACCTATCACATCATACCTTTTTACTAATAATCTACTCATCAAATCAAATGACATTTTTGGAAATTCAATACCAAAATACACTCCACTTAAATCTCTTCAAAATCAAAACATCTCATGTTTAAAGGGACGGAGGGAGTAGAAAAAAGACCCAAAAAAGACAACTGCAAAATTAACGGTCTAAAAAGTAGGATTTTGGGTCGAAGATGGATCCCGATGGGTCTTTGACGGATCAAGCCCCTGTGCGTCTCACCGACACCTTTCCAGAAAGGGGTAGACTGCTGAAATCGGACACCCATAGCCAAAGTTATGACCCAAACAATGTAGTAGCCCAAAATGCTTCAATTTCTTGCTAGCCTGGTGTTTATTTTTGTGGTTCATGGTAAAAAAGTGATAACTGATAAGTCTATTATTTGTGCACGTGTTTATATTTTGTTGGACTTAGTGAGTTTGTTTTTATATTAAATTGCATAACCTTTATTTAAATTATGATTTTGGATGGATTTGTGTTTATGATTTAATTTTAAAATCCAATGATAAGGAAAGGATCAATTAGCAAACACATTAGCAAAATGTGGGGCAATTTGTAATACTAAGAAGCTTTAAGGTCCGTTTGGTATATGAAATTGATAGAATTGGAATTGAAATTTCATGGGATTCAATTCCATAGAATTTAATTCTTCCAATTTCAATTCATTTTTTGCACTATCAATTTTAAATCCACATAATTTTTGTGTTACCAAACACTAGAATTGGAATTGAAGCCCTCAATTCCAATTCCATAGTTTGAATTCCGTGTACCAAACGGGGCCTTAAAGTTGATAGAGGAGGAAGGGAGATCGGGCAGAGGGAAACGAGAGGCGGAAGACGGATTACTCCTAAGTCCTAAAACCCAAATTGTAAATGCTCAACCCTAACTTTCAAAAACTCCATCAAGCCGTCAATTTCTTCTTCTTCTGCGGTATTTTCGATCATCACCACCGTCATCACCGGCGGTCACCACCACTGTTCCGTCTCCTTTTCTTGTGCACACGGACAAAGTTCAACGAGAAAAGAGGGCAGCAGTATTATATTGTAAGTGCCATTTTGGAATTTGGATGTGAGTTTGACTGGATAAAATATGTGTGCGCCTATGGTGGTTACGGCCATTTGGGCTTATACTACCTCCCTCCCTTCCAAATTCCAAAGTATTTGTCCAGTTTGACTTTTTTGAGTCAAACTAGATAAACTTTGAGTTTCAATTAAATAAAAACTGTAAAGTATTTTAATATAAAAATGACTTTATTGGATTTATCGTATTGAGACTTTCAAAATTGTATTTCATTATGCTAATATGTAATACAAATTGAGAGTAATTGGAGTTTAAAGTTTGTTCAATTTGATCGGAAAAAGTCAAACTGGACAAATACTCTGGGACGGAGGTAGTACCATTCATTTTTTTAAATTAATAAGTACTCCGTACCATGCATGCTATTACTCTATTTGGTTATGTGTACAATTGCAAATATGATGCATGCTGTGAACTATGGAGTACTATTTTTTGACAATATGGATCGTGAAAATTAATCGCGACTCAAAAATGGGGAGCATATTGAATGTGAATTTGACTTTCTTTTTACGTGAAATTAGTTGACCGTACGAACTTAGTGTTCCGATGGGAGTGACTTAGATTCACAATAGATGACCGGACGAACGAACGTAGCAGTTCAACGAAGGTGGCTTGGATCCACCATAATAATAAAATTGAAACTGACCGGATGGATGTAGTAGCCCGAGGTGGCCTCCATCCATCATTTTAATAAAATTGGAATTCGCCGGATGGGTTTAGTAGCCCACCAGAGGCGGCCTGGATCCACCAAGGTAGTGATGTACGTACATTGAGACCCAATTTAAAATACAGTTTAGAGTTTACTTTAGAATGGACATGGAAAAGAATGGTTGACTTATGTTGCTAAGTTTTACCTTGTATGGTCATATGTACTTATCATGTGCTTATAATTTTTTTTTTGCATAGGGTTCAACGGCTAATCCAAAATCGATGACTTTACAATTGATGGTAATACAACCACTGAGAAAAGTCAAGATCAACGGAACAAAGATGATGAAGCTGAGAGCGATGAACTTGAAGATGTAGACAGTGATGAGCATAAAAACTTTGGACTATATCTTAGCTTCCATATCAATGTGTATTTTAATTTAGTTTACTTTGACTGTTTATACTTTAGCTTGAAACGTACGCAAATGATGAACTAATTTTGAGATGTTGGTTTACTTTCTAGTAAATGTGTTGGTTGTAATCCTTTGAAATGTTATCGTATTATGTATATGATTTTTAATACAAGTATGAGTATTATTTTTTATTTGTCAATGAAATTCTTTGATATCACTTAAATAGAGCATGCTGATATAAAACACGATATTAGTAACAATTATAATAAATGTTAATGTTGGTCAAAATAAATTATTACCGACAGAAAAAAATATTTTACTCACATGATTTTTTGTGGGTAATCCAACTTTTAGTGACAGTTATAATAAGTGTTAATGTTGATAAAAATAAGATATTACCAATAGAAAAAAATGCTTTACCCACACTATTTTTTTCGGTAATCCATGTTTTTGGCTACATAAAAAATGACTTAGATTTTCATGGACTTCAACCAATTTGGGGTCATAATAAAGTTGCTCTTTGTAATGATAAAAACTAAAAAAACACATCATACCAATTACCAAGACAAGAGAAATCGAACTGACGGGCACACGATTGTCTTCTAACATGTGAAAAAATCAAACTCCAATTTGTTTTTTTATGACGCCCTGCTGGGCTGGGATGAGAAGACAACAAGCTTTCATATAGCGTTCGGAGCTCCATCGGCCGTCGCATCCTCCGCAGTCGATCTGGAGATTGAAGCCGTAGATCGGAAAATTTTTAACTTCTCCGCTGGTATAAATAATGGACAACGGCGGCGAATTCCGATGCGTCGAGTGTGGATTATCGGTTAACTCTCTCTACATCCAGTACTCTCCAGGCAACATACGCCTCATGAAATGCGTACTTTCTTGGTCTTCTATGAGCTTTTAATTTTGGTTCAATCCAACCAACTGGTTGTTGATTCTGATTACTCATCTTTTTTTTTTGAATTGTGATTGTAGGATAACTGTAAAGCTGTCGCGGATGAGTATATCGAATGCGAAATCATGGTACTTCGGAAAGATTGATGATAAAAATCTCAACTTTGAATCATGGTTTCATGTTCTTAACTGTAATTTCTGGTTTTCTGGGTGCAGATTCTGTTGATTGATTTGATTTTGCATAAAAGAAAAGCATATAGGCACTTGTTCTACAATATGTTTCCTCGAGTGAGGCTCAATTTTGAGGTATTTTTTTAATTGGATTTTCCTAGTGTGTGCAATTATGGAAAGCAATTTTGTAATGTTGGCTGTCTGTTCGAATATTTGCAGGGATTGCTATGGAAATTGCTTCTGTTATTTCTTCTCTTGGATTCTTGTATCCATTTTTGTGATGATTCAATTAAAATTTGCAAATTCCTTAAGTTGTAGATACAAGTTAATTTCATGGGAAATTATGTTCTCTGTTCTGTTTAATTGCAGAAAAATAACTTTCTGCTGGTAATATATCGTGCGGAAAACGTATCCAGTGGATAATATTTTCGCGATTACAGAAGCGATTTCATATACTCCGTATAATATGATGTTTGAGCTATTCAAATCGATAATGTACAACTGTTTCCAGGAAATCTCTTCCCATTTTCAGGACGGGAAGTAGTTTTCCACAAAAGTTCAAGAAAACGATTTCCATTTCCAAACCTAAGAAACTCTTTCCATGAAAAATTGAAATCTTTTTCCCGTGCTAGCCACATGAAAATCCAGAAACTCTCCAAGGAAATATTTTGATGTAAACAAACGGTGTGGGTTGGATATTCAGCTGTCTATTTTTTTTAGGAAGAATGGTTGTTCTGATGTTGTACCACCCATAAGCCTTAACTATGAAAGACAGAATGATGATCCTAAGCACTACCCCTAAGGAGCGGATCTTGCCTACAGCCTTTGATTCATTAGTGTCCATCTACGGGAAGGTGTGTACCTCCCAAATTTGTGGATTAATGGTTTTGGGCTTTGATTTATGGTGTGAGCTGTGTAGGTTCTGTATGGAGTCCTCTTTGTGAACCTCGTCTTCCTTGGAACATTACTATTTGGCACAATGAGGTTTCTGAAATCAACTGTTAGAGATTCTGGGTAAATTTTTCTTTAACAAATGTTACAGATTACAGAAGAACTACTTGTTATATGCTTGAACTGTTGCTTGATTGGACAGGTTTAGGCCAGTAATGCTTGCGATTCTCATTTCAAGTTACTTAAAGATTTTCCTTGTGGCCATGATGGTATGCTTCATTTGTTTTCTGCATTAATTCTCATTCTAATATGAATTTAAAAGCGCTGGGTCCTTTCCAATAGAAGTTCTTGGTTAATAATCATCACGGGGATTCATTCCAATTAGAGTTTTTGTGATGGAGCTATATTCTTTAATTTTGCAGGTATGGGAATTTCCTCGTGCTGTTATTTATGTTGTTGACATTCTTATCTTCTCATCCAATACACTAGCATTAAAAGGTAAGAACACTGAAACTTAATTTATCGCCTTATATATTAAGAGACCAAGTCATTTGGGTTTATTCAGTGCTCTGTTAAGCCCGTGACCGATCCTACCACTCCTAAACCGCTCCACAACCCCCCCCCCCCTCCCGCCCCCAAAGCATTTCTCGCCTCCAAAATGATAGGGAGTGGTGGGTGGGTAGGCCTAGTTCCAGTCCCAATGGAGCTCTGTATGTACCCAATGTCAAGCTATGACACACCAAAACTGGGTGTCAAAAGAATCGTGGGGATATATTGAATACTCCCTCCGTCCCTAAATATTTGCCACACTTGTATTCCCGAGGTAAAATATCAAGTTTTTTCAATTCATTTTATTTACATATTGGTATATAAATAAAAAATAAAATTTACATATCAAAAAACTACATGAAAAGTTCTTCGAAATAAGAGGTGTCAAGAATATTTTATTTTATCAAATAACCAATGAAAACGTAGAAATAAACAAAAGTTCCCGCGACTGCTGAAAAAGCAAATGTTATAAATATTTTGGGACGGAGGGAGTACATTAGTACTCCTTCTAATGTACTCCCTCCGTCCAGAAATATTCTTCCCATTTGACTTTTCTTGGTCAAAGTTTGTAAACTTTGATTATGATATGTGGAAAAAATACATTGTATTACGATTTAACTTTAATATGAACATATTCATTTTGAAATATAGTTTTCAAATATCAAATTTTTATAAAGTATATCTATGCATAAATAAAGATATTAGTGGTCAAAGTACAATCTTGGAGACCGTAAAAAGTCAAATGAGAAGAACATTTCGGGACGGAGGGAGTAATAGACATGCTGCTATTAATGTTTAGCCAAGATACGATCTTTTTTCACGAGTTATCATTTTCACCTTTCAAATTCCAAGTTATTTACCCTTTTGCTCATAAAAGAACGTGCATAAGAATCAGTTTCAAATTTCAGTCTTAAACAAAGTGCTCATTTAGAGGCCCTATGTTTGGGCCTTTCAGTAATTATCTTATCAACCATAGTCTTTGCAAAACAATTGCATAGTTGTTTTGTGTGGATTGTGGACAGAACAACAACAACAACAACAACAACCCAGGTGAATCCCACAACAGTAGGGTCTGGGGAGGGTGTGTGTACGCAGACCTTGCCCCTACTCGGAAGTAGGGAGGCCGTTTCCATTGTGGACAGAATTCATCAATAATGAAACAAAATGGTGCATAATATACTCCTTCGACTAAGATTCATAAAACGACTGGAAATTGCTAATTAACCTCCGCTTTGATATACTACGTAATACTTTCGTTGTTTTGTTAACAAAATGTGCATTTTTATTGCTCTGTAACTGTTTTTTTCTCTGATAAATCGGCCATTTCAGCTACACTTTGAGTTATACTTTACCTTACTCTTCTTCCCATGTTCCAGTCGTTACAGACAAGGACATGATGCAATGCATATGGGTCTGCTTGGGTGCACACACCTTGAAGCTATTTATGGAGCAAAGCCTCATAGGATTTCCAACTCTCTCCGAATTCTATTAATCTCCCACCAACTTATTTTGAGTTTCAAACTTCACTTCATGCCTATATAATATATAATGCACCAGGTTCAGAGTTCAAAGGTGTGATTTCAGATCACGGAAACCCACCTTAGAGGGCCTGCCACCACTGCCCCGGAGTCTAATGGATTACGGGTAAAATGCATTTTTAGTCCCTTAGTCCATTGTCCCGTTAGAAATATTCTTTCATTCTTTGGCACTTTAGCCCCTTTTTCCAAAATATATGGAACTTATTTTCATTAAGCCACTGGAATTTGCAAAATTTGCCAGAAAGTACCGCTGAAATTGAGGATATATTGAATTGCTGGTAAAGGTTTAAGTTTATTAAAAAAAAGAGGTAAAAAAAAGTTCTTTTCAGCACACAACAACAAACTCAGTAAAATCTCACACCAGAAACTATGCCAATCAAGAAACTATAATGTTATTGTATGTTTACAGATACTCTTGTCTAACAAACAATGAGTGGCAGCAGTGCAGCAAAGAAAAAGGAAACACCACAAACAAATTTTGGCCTGATCTGAGTTTGTGTTTCTAGAGACAAAGCCTTCTTCTACATCCATCAAAGGGGAGGGAAAGCTTGCATGGAGAGTGTCCCAAGTCTTTCACAACCTCATGGATCAAGTCTGTGCATATACCTTCTTGTAAAGCCGCTCCAATCTTTCTAGCCTCTCCATGCTCGCCGCAAGCTATGTCACTGCACGCTTCCTCTACACTCTCGGCCATTTCTCTGCTGCGCTGCATTACCGGAGAAGATGATGATACAAACCCCCCCTCGCGGTTTGTTTGGAAAGAACATGTTTTGAATTTCTTGATAACGGAGTTCATGCTCTCATCCATGGCTACCTTGTTCCTACTCTGTTGCACAATGTAACCTGCTAGAGAATATATATAAAAATACAAACCAACATATGATTAAGGTATCATCTTCTTATTAATTAGAGGATCCTATGTGAACTTGTGAAGTTTGATACTAAAAAAAACACATTTTTGTCATCATCAGCCAAACACAAGAGTGGATACTAGAAAGCTAAACAGATTAGGCACAAATTTATTGGAGATTTGGAAAAGATACTATGTTTTGGCTGTACTTCCATAATGTTTTTTTCATTGTTACTACTTTAATCTCATCAAATTTTAGAAAGAAAAAGAAAGGGGAGTGGACCCAAACAAGAAAAAAGTAATGGTCTGCAACCCAAAGAAAGAATCATATACTGTGTGATGATGATGCTCTGTTTCAGACTTTGGTACCTTTCATCACCCTTTTTTTGACTGCATCATCATCAGTAATTATTTGTGATGTTTAGCAGATGAGAGACACCTCATGCACCCATCATCCTTACACCCCACCCACCGTGGGATGATGAATCATGTTGTCGGGTCCACGCTATTGTAGTGCTTTCGTCGATGTTTGAACCGTTATATCGGGTCACCCAATGAAACCCGATCTAAGGTTCAAACGCTCTTTGACGCACTAACCCAGAGACTAGAGAGGCACAAACTTTGGCCAAAATCAAATTATTTTATTTTGATTGTTTTGGGTAATAATTTACTCCATGTCTTGTGTTGTTCTTCTCATTTTGTTGGGTGTTCCATATTTCTCTCCCCGTTTTCATAAATGGAAGCTAAATTGTTACGGAGTATTAAATGACCTCTTTGCCCTTCTTCTCTTCATACACTTTCTTATGCGGTTATGCCCCCTAAATCTAAAATCTAGTAAGGGCAATTAAAAAGAAATTTGGGTGTTTAGCTTGTATTAATTCTACCTGTACCCTATAACTTTAAAAGTTAAAAGGAGTAAAAAAAAAGGACCCTCAACAACGTAAGTGTAGGTCCATTTATAGTTCTTATGTCAACTTCTTACCAAAAGAGATTATATAAAAGAAATAATGTTAGATCGGCCATGTGTTTTTAGTCGCATAAAGTGATGAAAATTTGTATAATTCGGTATTATTTAAATAAACCCATCAAACTACTTCATTGTCCTTGATTTGCTTTGATTAGGTATGAGTATACTCACTTAATTAGCTTATACCCTCCAACTCCAGATTTGATTGTTTGTTTGTTTTTTAAAGAAGAATTATTCTTCAAAAATGAGGTTAAAATATTACTCCCTCCGTCCTAAAACTTTCTTCCCACTTCCCCTTTTTCTCCGTCCTAAAACTACCTTCCCATTAGAAAAAAAAGATAACAAATGACATTAATACCCTCATGTATTTACACCAATTATCTTCTAACTCTATATTTTGAATGATTGCAAAAAACAATTTGCAAAAAATCTTTTTTAAGAGGGGTGAAATTTGAAGTCAAAGCCAAAAATTAAAAATGAGGAAAAGTCAAACTGGGAAGAAAGTTTTAGGACGGAGGGAGTAATAAAGTCTTTTAAATGAGTTTGTTACTCATTCCTATCAACAATATCTATATCCTATTTTTAGCATGTTGTAGACAATTCATCTTTTTTATTGAATTTAGACCATACTTTAATAAATGTTTACTTGTTTTCTTATTGAGTATAGAATATAAACAGTTAATTCGGAACAAACAAAAATGAGAAAATAATAAACACTCCCTCTCCTTGCAAAAAATAGTTTTGTTTTGATTTTTAGCAGATTTATTTTTATGATTTGGCTTTTTATTTATTCTTTTAGCGACGAAGAAAAAAGAAAGACAAATCATCACTTACAAAACCTATTATAACAATGTAAATTGAATAGAGTATATTGCAATAATTTTATTTGGATATTTACTCATTTTTTGTAAAAGTGTAAGTGTTTTAAAGAAAAATGAAAAAAATGAAAGAGAAATTATTTTGAAAAAGGAAAATAGTACTATGTCCTGATGGATATGATAGACTTGAATGTAACATTAAGAACATAAAAGATCATATAATGGATTGGTAAATGTTTATATACACCTCAAATGCATATAAAAATGTACTATTTCATATGAAAAGTAAATTATATGGAGTACTCCGCAATATAAATATACTCCCTCCGTCCCTAAATATTCACAACATGTGCTTTTTCAGCAGTGTCGGAAACTTTTGTTTATTTCGATGTTTTCATTGATTATTTGATAAAATAAAATATTCTTGACACATCTTATTTCGAAGAACTTTTCATGTAGTTTTTTTTTATGTAAATTTTATTTTTTATTTCTTTACCAATATGTAAATAAAATGAATTGAAAAAACTTACTCCGTAATATTTTGCCTCGAAAATACAAATGTGGCAAATAATTATTATTTTAATAATGATTTTTATATTTTTTTAATACTATTACTTCGTACGTAATATTATTTTAATTACGTGAGAAAGTTAGAATAGTGCAACATATAGTTTCAGACAAAACCCATAGCTTGGCATGGAATAATGCAAGAAAATCGGCATAAAAAAAGGATTTGGGAAATTGGGAACGAACCGTTACTACTGTGAATTCTGCCCAAAGTCGGGGAACGTGTTATCATCGCCCGGTCGTCCAACACGGCGCCCGACGGCGGTTTCGCCGGTGACGATTGCACCGACTTTATAATATTCTTAAGCGCCTCCAAGTCTTGGTTACACTTCTCTATGGCTTGGAGCAGCATCTTTCTCTTCTCCTCCGTCGTTACCAGCCACTCCCCTTCCGCCGCCGCCGGTTTCTCCTCCAACCCCATCAGCCTCTCCACCAATGCCGGCCGGACTTTGACGTTTTCCCGGCGGATCTCCGGCGGCAGCGCCGGGCTTCTTTCTATTCTGACTTCCCTTTGACCATCTCGTGTCATCACTCTCACCGGAGACGCCGCCGCCGCCGCCGGAGATGGCTCCTCACTGCCTTTTCCTCTCTTTTTGCCTGTCAAAATAACACTTAATTGGTAAAAATAAAAACCCATTCCAAAAAATGATTTGTTTAGAGGAGACAAATAATACACACACCTGATGTGATGCGTTTGGTTTTGTTTTGGTATTTGGAGATGAGTTGAAAGATTCCGGACATGCAACCGATAGATTTGGCACGGCGTCGTTTCTCCGGCGGCGGTGTTTGCCGTTGCCGGCGAGATGAAGACGGTAGAGAGTCTTGTTGGTCCATATTATGGAGTATATTTTTTTCCTTTTAGTGGGAAAGAAACTTCTTAATAGGATGAATAAAGTGATAAAGCGATTAGTGTGATAGTAGTGTGTTGTAAAAAGAAGGAAAAAAAGAAGACTGAGAAAAAGGGTCTCATTTCAAGTGCCGTTGTTGGACAGGAAATGGACAAAGGGCCATTGACGGGTGGGCCAGCTACCTATTTCAATACAATACTCCCTCTGTCCCAAAATATAAACAACACTCCACTATTTAAAAATCTCGAGAACTTTTATTTATTTTTGGTATTTTCATTGATTATTTAATAGAATAAAGTATTCTTGTCACCACTTGTTTTGTAGAACTTTTGACGTAATTTTTAAATATGTAAGTTTTATTTTTCATTTGTAGACCATTCTTAAAATAAAATGGATTGAAAAAGTTCAAAAATTACTTCGTTTAACGTAATGTTGTTTATACTAGAAACTTACCATGATTATTTTTACACGTGATAATCCCAAATGATTTATGTGAAATTTGCACGGAATAAGATTATAACATAAGTCATTTATCAATGTAGAACTTAAACTTTTTATTCCCTAAATAAGACTTAATAATGACTAATAAGAAGAATAATATCCAAGTGATGCTGGATATTTAGTTGAATAATAACTAATAAATAATGACCAATGGTCCTATATTGGAAAATAAAAACATATGATCCTATATTAGAAAAAGTCATTATGTTTTAATCGTATTTAAAAAAATTACCTATATACATAAATTATAAACTAATGTTTACGACGACAGATGATTATTGCATCTATCCATATTAAATCTCATATAATTATTCCTATTACTAAATTTTGGTTAGATATTGTTGTATAGGGAGTAAAACAAATCAAAGAAACAGATCGGTCGAGATGAATTGACATGATTTTAGTAGTGTGGAAAATTTAGTCTAAAACATGTACCAACTTGATCTCAATATTGATTGGTTTATCCGACCTTGCAATATCATTCCCTTCGTTTATTAAAAGTTTTCCTCTTTCATTTTTTTTTTCATTTTCACTAAAATATTTCTTTTTTTAATTAAAATGCGTAATGTATCCAAATAAAGTCATTGTAATATTCTTCACCTATTTTCTATTGATATACTGAGTTATTTAAGTAATGTGTCACTCTTTTCTTTTCAATGTAAATGATTTAATTATAAAGTCAAATTCTAAAAATACATCCTATAAAAGTCAAAATAAGAACGGTTTTGATGAATGGAGGAAGTAGATAACGAGTACTGCCTCCGTCTCTGAGTATTTGTCCACTTTTAATTTGTTTCAATCAAAATTTACAAACTTTGACCATAAATAAATTAATATACCATATATATATATATATATATATATATATATATATATATATATACCCATGTTCTGCACTTGATCCACTGGTAGAACACGTACGGTTAAAATGAGTCAAACACTTCTTGCTGGATAAAAGTGTGTCGTCATACGAATTGTCAGCAGTCTTCTTCTTATGATATTTAGGGCATGTTTGAGAATATTGTAAAATCAGCGTTAACATTTTAGATAATGTTTTAACGGTGTTGAAAATGGTAACGTTAAACGGAATCCGTAGATTACCTTTTTCAAGTAATAAATCGGAACTATCCTCCCACTTCTACAAAGAGGCAATGCTACCATTCTCTTTTACTTTCTTGCTGAAGCGCCCTTCACAAGCTTGACGTCATTCATCTCAACTAGTGCTAGCTGCATGTTATAAAACTGCATTTTAAGTTGCGTTAATCACATTATTATTTGAAAAACATTAAAATTCACTAGCATTTAACATTTTTTCTGTTAGTATGTTATCTAACAACCCCAAATCATGCACAATAATGAACAAGTATTGCAACAAAATCTCATATGACTATAAAGAGTTGAGATTCCTTAACACATACAACATAAGTTATTATCATGTAGTCACAATCCAATATATGTCTGATTTAGATTGCAGCTTAAAATCCCGTACTCAGACTTCTGATCCCAAACAGTGTGTTGCAACATCGTGCTGAAAACTGCAGCAACTCTAGAAGTCTAAATAAAATAAACTTCTCCTAAAAAAAATAGAGGTTTCTACTAGTAAACTCCTACCAAATATGGGATTCTATTTTGCCAAAGGAATTAACCGAACTTGGAGTGGCTAGGTGGGGTCACTTGACCTCACTGATTTGTTTTTGTGAGTATATAGTAATGTTCCATATTTTGTGTTCATCTTTACCAAGAGTTTTATTTTAGCAAAATTAGCTCTAAATAGATATTTCCTCCGTCCACAAATAAACTTCTCGTTCACTATCCACAGGGTCAAACTTTATTCACTTTGTTGGCCTATTTTCGCTATACATTTGATAAAATAATATAGTCATGTCACCTTTAGTTTTGTAGATCTTTTAATATAGTTTTTTATCATGTAATTTTTATTTTAAAATTTCACATTATTTTTCATATAAAATGATTTAAAAATAACTGCAGTCAAACATCGTAACGCGCAATAGGAAATTTATTTGTGAACGGAGGGAGTATATACTAATAATGCTTTCATGCCAATGGATTGTTATAAGAGGAATTTACCTAAATAGCACTAAAACATAATGACTTTCTCTAAATGACACTACATATGTTTTTCTTTCCAATGTAGCACTTTTAGTCATTATGCATTAGTCATTATTCAAGCAAAATTTCGCCATCACTGGACATTATGGACATTATAAGTGCTATTCAGAGAATAAAACAGTTTAAGTGCTATTTAGGGAAATGACTTAAGTTTTAGTGCTATTTAGTGCAAATATTTCTTGTTATAATGCTATATACTCCGTATGTGCTAATTAAACATTGGTTTTATACTATGTACTTGGTATATTATGTCCGCTAAGAATCTGAAAAAATGTCTCGAAGTAATATTTTACGAAGTTGTTAATTTTTGTACTTTTTTCTCTTCTGTAATTGAGAGCTTTATTAAATTACATAGTAAAAATGTACAAGTTAAAAAAATACACATGTCTATGAAGTACGGAGTACAAAAAGTGAACCCACGGGCGGGTCTATTCAATAGTAGTAGGGGGCATCGCCCCAACTAAATCTTGGATCAAGAGTTAAAAAGAATAGCTATGCACTATTTCTTCCGTCTCCTAAAGATATTCTTGTTTTAATTTTTAAAAAAATTTAAATAAATGATATTTTTGTGTTATTTTTCAAAAAATACTCTTGATATGATGAGTAGATTATTAGTTAAAAAACATGATATAATATGTAGGTTAGGAATTAGTACGAATAAAAATGGTTTTTTAATAGAAAATGTAAGGAGTTTGTGGGACAAGAAAAGAAAAGTGGAAAATTTCATTCAAATTTCATAAAACTTTCAAATATTTATCGAATATGAAACTTTCTTAATAGATAATGTGAAAATTTATTTTATAAATAATAACTCCATAATTGTTTACAATAAAACAAACTTTAATTAGGGTATTTTCAAATTTCACATTATCTATTAAGAAAGTTTCATTTTGGATATATATTTGTATTAGGATATTAAGCGCGTAAGATACCGAAAAATATTGAGAACACTAGAAAAATGAGAGAACAAACACAAGAAAAATATATGAGAGAAAAAAAATTATATTTCCACTTTTTCAAGACAATATACAAAAAATTCTCTCCTGTTTACAAGGCTAACAGATCTTTCCACATTCTATGACCGGATGTATTTTTTCGAGTAAATAAAACCAGTTACTCCCTACACTCACTCACACTCACCAAGACCCATTGGATTTTCCCGGTGGTATTCTTGTGTAGAATTCCTATCATGCTTCTCTCTCTACATTGGTAGTGTGTAAAACCCACACACGCACTTGTATTAAGAAAACCATGGCTTTTTAAAGCCAAGAGAAATACTGCTACAAATGACCACCAACACAAGAGTCCAAAACAAATTTGATGGAGTCCAAATTCCTTAAAATGAACGAACACAAGGCACGACAAAGAATCACATATGAATTCGAAGTTCATTTAACTATCTTATGGAGCTAAAATAGTTTCAACAAAAACTGAATTCCACATACCAACCTACTTAACAACTTGTGCAATAATTGAAGAAAACTAATTTGAATCAATTCTCATCATAAGGGATTAATATAAACATTTAAAAAAACCCAAAAAGAAGAACACCAACCATTTTTGGAATTTTCAAAATTAACACAACAAGCAAACAAACATGAAAAAATTGAACAAAAAGCAAACTTTTACATAGAATTGGAGAAAAAAATAAAAGTTGACAACTAAGGGTTACCAATTTGTTGAAGAAGAAGATGAAATTGAAGAATTGGAGCTTGAAGGAGACTGCCCACCGCTCGCCGGAGCTTTTGCCTTAGCCGGTTCGCGTCTGCCGGCCGTCCGCCGCCGCCGCCGCGGCTCTCTTGTCGTTATTCCTCGTGTGTTTCCCCCCTTCTTTAAGTTGCAATTCGTCATCAATTTATAGGATATTAGGAGCAAAGGGCCTTTAATTTCTTCCCGTTGGAGCGCTTGACTGGCGAACATTGATGGAGCCGAACGTTGGATAGCTTGATTTGGCCCTGCAATCTACGAAGAGTAAGAAGCATAGTTTTGAGAACCGGACCGGTGACCGAACCGGTCAAGGTACTGGTTCACTGGTCGAACCAGTGGTTTAAACATATTTAAAAATTATACAAATATATATATATACACACACACACACACATTCTCATATATAAATACATAAAGAAAGTAATTTATAATATTTGACTAAAATTATACTCGTATTAATATACTTGAGTTATTTTACTAAATTAAAAGAAAAAATTTACATATTAAAAAATAGTATTAAAATTTTATTTAAAAAAATATCAATGATTTTGTGTTTAACTCATAGCTATATAACTACTACGCATTATATTTTTAAAATTGAAAAGGGATTTTTATGCAATCTTTTTATTAATTATGAAATATTACAAAAAATTATACAAATCTAAAACAACAAGCATTGTTAGTTGGTGGTTAGGAACTCAACCAAATAGCAAAGAGGTCTTGGCTTTGAACCCCCATCGAGTGAAGTTTTGGAAAAATTGCAAAAAAAAAAAAATTGGTTTGACCAATCCGACCGGCCGGTTCTTACCGGTTCAAGCTGGATCGGACCGCTTCGAAGCTCATTACGGTCCATTGGGCCGGACCGGACCGATTGGACCGCCGGTTCACGGTCCAAATCGGCCGATCCGGTCCGGTTTCTAAAACTATGGTAAGAAGTCGTAGACTTCTTTTTTTTCCTTTTCCTTTCCGTGCGTGAGATTGGAGAAGAAAGAGTATGCTGGGCTGGTTTTCTTTTGTTGATGATGTTTGTGGGCTCTGGCACAAAATCAATCTCTCTTTTTTTTAAACTTGAGCTTCAATTTGACCTTTTGCTATTAAGATATCTGATAACTTGGGTTATAAAAAATAAAATAAAAATAATAAAATGTAAAAAGTGATTAAAAACTACTAATTTTGAAAGAAAATAAAAAGAATTTAAAAATAAGAATTAAAATAAAACTAAGCTAAACCACTAAAAGTTTAACTCTAAAAGTATTAAAAATGCCTAAAAAATAAAAAGTATTATCCCAAACCCGACTTATCAATAAATCACAATTCAATTTCTTTCTTTTAAATGAAAATTAAGGTAAGAGTATAACATTAAAACTGTACTAAAATAGAAGTTTCATATTTTAATTTTCAAAATAGGAGTTAAAATACATTTACATTGTCAATCATGACCATATATATTACAAAAAGGTACTGTGAAATATCCATGTACAATGTCATATTACTACAGTACAAGCTCCTATTTTGGAGATAAAACAAGGAGCTCCTATTTGGATATTTTTTCTATATTTTATTTCTAGTTAGAGTGATTTCTTTTCTTCTACGGAGTATCTTATTGTCCGGCCAATACTAACCGGGTCAGTTCAAAAATATGAAAAAAAAATGAGATTGGCCATGTGCAAAGTTTACGTGTTGGATTTCGCTGAGTACTTTTAATTTTAAATTAGTATTAAATTAAATTTTTAATAACTACTTTTATTATAATTTAAATATTAAAATATTACTCTAAGGAAATCTTTTTTTAAATAATAATAACTGCCGGTCAATGAGGGTAAGACCCGACTTTAATTCTTGTCAACTGTGTTGGGAGGCAATTATTCTAAGCATATGGCCTCTGCAAGTACTAGGTACAGGCTCCACTCTTTGCCACCAATCTGCGATTAAAGTCTAATTTACCTGCTCTCACTGACCGTCCGACCGGATTTAAGAGGGCCCTCGAGGATGGGCTCATCCGTTTTAGATAATACTCCCTCTATCCTTAAATATATCTCACAATTCTATTACCAAGGTAAAATATCTAGTTTTTTCAATTCATTTTATTTACATATTGGTATGGAAATAAAAAATAAAGTTTGCATATCAACAACCTACATGAAAAGTTTTTCGAAATAAGAGGTGTCAAGAATAATTTATTTTATCAAATAACCAATGAAAATATAGAAAGAAATAAAAATTTCCACAACTGATGAAAAAGCAAATACTACCTCCGTCCCAGAGTATTTGTCCTCTTTCATTTTTACACACCATCCAATACACTTTTTTAATCCATTTTATCTTGTAATTTGTATATTAACAAATTATAGAAATTATATATTACTCTTCCGTCCCAAAAAGTCTTTCCTGTTTCATTTTTTGTGCATCCCATAAAACACTTCTACCGACATCTAAAATGCCTAAAATTTACAACATCTCTTCTTTATTGTGGGTAGAAGTTATTTTGAAAGTTTTTTTTGGCAGTCAAGGCGGGATAGAAGTGTTTTATGGGATGCGCAAAAAATAAAACATGAAAGATTTTTTGGGACGGAGGAAATAATAATCTATATGTTAAGACAAATCAAACAAGATCACACATGAATATATTTAAGCTTACACATTCAAAGAATTTGATAAGTCAAAGTATTTAGATGAACAGTTCCAAAAGTAAAAAATGGACGAATACTCCGGAACGGCGGGAGTATGAGATATATTTAGGAACAGAGGGAGTAATAAGTCTATTAGAATAATTTGTTTATTTCAATACTTCCTCCGTCTCAAATTATTTGTTACATTTCTATTACTGAGGCAAAATATCAAATTTTTTCAATTCATTTTATTTGCATATTGGTAAAGAAATAAAAAATAAAAATTACATATCAAAAAACTACATGAAAAGTTCTTCGAAATAAGAGGTGTCAAAAATATTTTATTTTATCAAATAAGCAATGAAAAGATAAAAACAAGCAAAAGTTCTCGCGACTGTTTAAAAAGCAAATGTGACAAATAATTTGGAACGGAGTACAAAATAAATACCGGAGTATGAAGTACTCCGTACTAAATTTTGGTGGCGACAGATAGATGGCCCAGTCCAAACGTGGCAACAGAGATTTTTTGGTCAATGTAGACCACCACCCCGCGTAGCAACCGCGTTTGTCTATTTGATAGCGATTGACTCTGAAATAAAGTGAGAAAGAGATTATTTCAAAAAAAAAAGTGGGAAAGAGGAGTAATAATAATGATAAGATAATTATAATAATTAAATGTTTAAGATAATAATACCCTTAATAAGAACAATTAAAAAACAGGAGTAAATAATTTTAAAAGATGATAAAATTATTAAAAACATAAATTCTAATTAGAATTAAATCAAATCAGTTTAGATTGATTCAATTAGAAGATTTAGATCAAATAAAAAAAAATTCATACCAAATTAGACTTTAATAAATTCAGAACAGGTCAGACCAAAAGAACATGCTCTAGATATTTACAACAAGAAAGAAGTTAATATGTTGCCTCTTATTTTATTGATTATTTAATATATGAGTTTTATTAATCAATTTTACAAAAATATTCAAATGATTTAAAATTAAGATAATTTTTGGTAAATATCAAAAATAAAATAAACATGAGAGAGGAAGGTATCTTATTATGATACCCTTTGGTTCGTATGACATTGATTGGGAATTAATGGCATGGCCTGGGGGTATTTCAATGCTACGTTCGTAAAATTAACAATTTCTATTTTCTACACTCTAATCCCTGATAAACTCTCCATCCAGTCCCAACCCGAACACACTCCCTTCAATTGCACTTCCAAGTTAATTTTGACTTTGAAGTCAAATTTTGACTCCAAAGTCAAAATTAATATGAGGGTGTGAGGTGTGTTCAGGTCGTGGTGAGTGAGGTGTTTACCGGGAGATTAGAGGGTAGGAATCGTCAATTTTACAAACGAGACATTGGAATAATACTCCCAAATCATTTCATGACATTGATTCCTAATGCCACTCGAACCAGCCCTTGATAATTGGACCATTAAAAGTTAAGTGCAATCTTTATGGATACGGAGTATAATTTTAAGGGCAAGGTTCTAGTGACATTAACCCCTAATGTCATCCTTATGACATGAGTTTCGTTTGAGGTCCTTACGGTGCTCCGTTCAAAAAAGTGATTGTTCCTACCCCCTCTAACCCCCCGGTAAACCCCCTCAACTCGGCCCGACCCAAACCAACCCCTCCTCCCCCGTCAATTGCACCACACAAAATGTAGTTGACTTTAAAGTCAACTACATCTTGTGGGGTGCAATTGACGGGGTAGGAGGGGTTGGTTCGGGTCGGGCCGATTTGGGGGGGTTTACCGGGGGTTAGAGGGGGTAGGAACAATCAATTTTTCGAATGGAGCATCGTAGGAACCTCGGGTCATCCCATAACATTGATTTCCAATGTCAAGGGAAGCGTGGTGTAACTTTAAATACTGAACGCTAACTAAGGGGGGTGTATTCAATTGGGAGTCTGCAGGATTTTTTTGGACTTTCAAAATCTGGAGGTATTCAATCTAGATTTTCAAAAATCTTAAAAAATTCTGAGGTATTCAATAAAGATTTTAAAAAGTCTTAAAAATTTTTTACGTATTCAACAATCAATGATTTTTAATACTCCATAGATTTTGCTGGATTGTCTCCCAAAATAATGCTTATCTCAAATCCCTTCTAAGGACATCAGATTTCCATGGATTTTGCAGCAGGGAGCCTGGAATTGTGAGAATACCTTGCTCCTTCTCATCCCCTGCTTGAAGACGCTTTCCTCCTAACCCTTCTCCTCCCGTGATCCATCATCTTCTCCTCTTCTCCTCATCCCCCCATGCCACCGCCTCCACTCCTCCGACGAGCACCACCAGCGGCAGGACATTGTATGGGCATTTTGACCTCCACGAGTTTTTCGGGCGCTCAGAGCCGACGGAGAGGTTCCTGAGGAAGAAGGAGAGGGCCCACTTGAGGTGGATGAGGGGCTTGGGGTAGAGGAGTGGCGGGTAGTGCCAGGTGAGGTAGCAGGGGACTTGGGCGGCGATGAAGTACTGTGAGTGGAGCGGCGGCGGTGACGGCGCGGGGCTGGTTATGATGTGGGTTAGGGCATGGAGTTTTTGCTCCCAATTCATGTCCTCCATTAATGGCTTCTTGTTTCTTTCTTCTTCCTCCGTCTTCTCAAATTTTGCAGCTGCCATGGCCGGATCGGAGTCTTTGCTGGCATGGAGTCTTTGCTCCCAATCTATATGCCGGATTGCCAGAAGGGAATGCACCTCAAAATTTCCAATAGAAATCCATGTACTCTATGAAATCTATCTCAAATCAATAGAAAAGTTGGACAAACTCTACATAGAATCTATTGGCTTTCTAAATTCACTAACATTTTAGAGTCTAAAAAAATCTAATACAATCTCAATTTAATACACCCCTTACCCTTAAGTCTCTAATTGAAAATATTTTCCAAAGCTTTATAATAAATACACAGTATAAAACGGTAAACGAACCTCAGCCATTTTCTCAACTCGCAATTCCTCTTCTCCCTTCCTCCGACTCCCTCTCCTATCCACCACCGTTATTTCCGGCGATCGCCTCCGTTTTCCGCCTCTCCGTTGGTAATTTCTGCAGGGAGAAATGACGGACCAGCTCACCGATGACCAGATCAGCGAGTTCAAGGAAGCCTTCAGCCTCTTCGACAAGGACGGCGATGGTCCGTTTCCCCTCTCCCGCTTTTTTTATTCGTTTGGTTTCCTTTCATATCTCTGGTTTTGAGCCGATTCCTATGCTTTTTTTCGTGTTTTCTGTTCGTTCGTCGCATGCGTGCTCAGATCTGGTTAATTTCGTTGTTGTTTTTTTCGTGTTTTATCTTTGTGCTAGTGGAAGGTATCGCCTGATTGTATGTTTATGAGTATGCATCGTTTTGTGGTTTCCAGAACAGAATCAGTTTTCGTTAATATGAAATGTTAGCTTTCGCAGGCAACAATGATCAAAGAAAACCTATGGATCTTGAATTTTATGCCCATCCTGTAGTTTTGATTCTTTAGTTGTAAATGTTTCTATATTTGTTGAGGTACGACTTTGGAAAACATTCAAATATAGTTACAACAACTTCAAGAACAACCTAGCTGGTTTCCACGAGAGTAGGGTCTCTATCAGGAGACCTTGCCCATACATACTCAAAAGGGGAGAGGTTGTTTTCAAGAGCCTCCCGGCTCAAGCAAACACTCAAATATAGTTAGATTTTCAAATTTACGTACTGTAGTTTTGTTTGACATAAAAAAAACATGTCTTGACAATGTCATGTGACAAAAATATGGTCTCATTTATTCAGTTTACCTCCTTCATACCAGTGTGTGTTAAAACTCAAAACTTGTACCATATTTGATTATGTTATTGTAGTTCAAAATGGTCCCATTTTAGCATATTCGTTATGAACCATACAATTTGACTTCTTAATTATTTGCGTGTCACTTTGCCTTGTCCCAAACTTTGTGGGACGAAGGTAGTATTATTTCCTTAATTGTGACAGAACAACCTCATTGAATACAGTTCCCATTATATGCTGTTCATGATTGATCCCGCCAGAGCTATTCTTTACTGTAATTGCTGAAAGCTCTGAGATTTGGATTAGGGTATGGGGGAAGAGAATTAATCCCAAAAATATTTATGTGATCTCTTGATGTGAAATGCCCAGAATTTATATCTTTGTTGAAGTAGTGAAAATATTGTTGGTTCCAGTTTTAGTTTAGTATCACTTTTTTTTGTTTTTGTTTCAGGTAGCATCACAACAAAGGAGCTCGGGACGGTGATGAGGTCGTTAGGACAGAATCCGACTGAAGCAGAGCTGCAGGACATGATAAACGAAGTGGATGCGGATGGGAATGGGACAATAGACTTCCCGGAGTTCCTAAACTTGATGGCGAGGAAGATGAAGGACACGGATTCAGAGGAGGAGCTGAAGGAGGCATTCAGAGTTTTCGACAAGGATCAGAATGGTTACATTTCAGCGGCGGAGCTGCGCCACGTGATGACAAATCTCGGGGAGAAGCTTACAGATGAAGAGGTGGATGAGATGATACGGGAGGCAGATGTTGATGGAGACGGTCAGATTAACTACGAGGAGTTTGTCAAGGTTATGATGGCCAAGTGATTCAATGGGTCACAAGCTTTTGTATAACCATGAATGTATTGCCCCCACTACTTTTCATTTCCTCTTCTTCTATGTTTTGGATGGTTTAAGGCTTAAGATCAGAACTGGAGCTATTGTAATTCTGTGTCCTGACGCATATGTTTCTCGGGCATGTTCTCTGTTTAAGGTTAATCTAGTTGACTATAACTTTATTGCCTCCCCTGTTTCTCATGTTACTACGGAGTATTGCTTATTTTGGTGCACATCAAAAAGCTTGTCTACCATTTCTGAGGTTACATATTTGTCTGGTCCAAATATAGGCCTTTTTTGGTTATGTTTGGTCCAAATTAATGTATCCCACGTTAATTGCTGGACATTTTTTTTATACATAATTTGTGTTTTTACCATAGTAGCCTGTTCTTGGTGCACCGTTTGATGTACACCTTGGTGTAGAAAAGGAATTTTCTTAAAATACTCTTTTGGGGTCTAAAATAGCAAAATGTGATCTAATTTATGTTTTATTATCTAGTTTCATTTGAATCTTTTCTCTCTCTCGGTTGGTTTAAATGTTTTTTCATATGTGTTTCTTCTTTGAATTTAGGATCTCTATTTTAATTTGGTCGGAATGTTTTAGGTTCCTTCTGAATTGGAGTACCAGAAAAATAAGCTAAAAATGACAAGGTAAATAAGAGTTTGTTCTTTTCGAGTTAGTCTTTTACCTTATTACAGAAATAGTCTAAAATATAACTACAATCAAATCAGATTAAAATTTAATCGAATCCTTTAATCAAAACAATACAGATGTGTTGAAGAGAACCAGCTCTAAAGCAGCAGCACAATGTGAGAGAAGTGTATATAGGCGGTTACAAATGGCGGAATGTTTGATCATCTTAGTTTGATTCCAAACTGGTAATTCTGATGCAGCAAATCAGAACATCATTGAATTCCGGCAATAGAAAAAAGAACAAACCTCATGGGACGTACAATGGATTATACATACAATCATATGTTTCTTAGAGAGAAGAAGATCAGTAGAGGAGCTGGGGTTCGAAGTCGGCAAGGTCAACGGAGCCAGAATCAACAGGTTTCATGAGATAAGCAGCGATGAGCTCAGAAACAAGGGCGGCCACCAGAGGGATTCGCTTAAGATTCTTCACCAAGGGCGGCGTGTCGGCATCCTCCCCTACTGCAACCAGCTTTTTGTTGATCTCTGCCATTCTGTCCAACTTCCTCTTGAACTCCGGGTTCTCTACGTCCAGCACTGCCGGGAATATTCTGGCACTTGTCCGGTTCGTCTGCATCCAACCAAGTATTATTTTTAGTACCCCTAATTAAAAAGTATTATCAGTAGATCTCTGTGATTTGTCCCGGTCCAAATATGAAACTGTGGGATTATTATGAAATGCATCAAAATACAAAGTAGTACACAATGCAACGAAGAGATAAGAACGATACTCGCCTCAATGATGACATGCATATCAAACTCTTTAGTGTCAAGTCCAATGCCTTCATAGAAAGCACTTCTTTGACAGTCATTGAGATACATAGTCACATAAACCTGCATAAATTGTGAGAGAATGATCATTCTTATGAATGGCTAAGAATTCCACATAAAAACAGTAGACTCCAAACCAATCATGAATTCTGTAGAGAACAAACTATGCAAACGCCAATACGAATAATTACCGAAAGACAGAAGAAGCGGGCCCACAACTTGGCCTTCCAGTCGTTAAGGAACTGGGGTTGAGCCTTCATCAAAGCAGAGAAAAAGTCCCCATGGCGGTTCTCATCCTGGCACCAGTTCTCAAAGTATTTGAATATGGGGTAGCATGAATACTCGGGGTTGGCTTTCAGGTGTCTGTATATGGTAATGTATCTCCAGTACCCGATTTTCTCAGACAGGTATGTTGCATAGAAAATGAACTTGGGCTTGAAGAATGTGTACTTTCTGGCCTTCGTGAGGAAGCCCAGGTCCAATGCCAGGTTGAAGTCCGATAATCCCTTGTTCAAGAACCTGCAGATTTCAAGTTGAACTTGATCTCAACATCCATAAATTTGAAAATTCAAACTCTCTAATAAAGTTATACGGAGTAATATATACCCAGCGTGGCGAGCTTCATCCCTAGACATGAGAGAAAATATCTCTGCTACCACAGGGTTAGTTTTCTGCAATAAACAACATTTCATAACAGGTTTATTTATACTCTTTCACTGCTAACATTGAACACTAATTTATCTCAACAAACTCATCTGTTAGAAAACATGAGCAGAGTATACAACTTGGTCCCAATGCATTTGTCTCGTTTAACTTTTCTAGTCAAACCGGACAAACCTATATCATCAATTAAATAAAATGGCGTGACATATTAGTAATAAAAAATGATTTTATTAGATTTTTATCTTGCAGAAAACTTTCAAAAAGTTATATAATTTTTATTTAATTGATTATCAAAGTTCAATGAAAGTTATGTCATTGTATTAATTTGAAATATAATTTTTATTTGATTCATATCAAGGTTTCATCCGGTTTGACTGAAAATCAAACTAGACAAACACATTGGTATGGATGGAGTATTTTTAGATAGAATTTGAATAAATTTATTTCTAAATCATTTGATGAATAATTTACTTAGATAGTACAATTTATGTTAATCACTTACATAATGATACATGCATTATATACTCTTAAATTGTAATTACTATCAGGATGCCATTTTGTATCTCTTTGCATATATCCGGGCAGCAGAAACTAATTTTATCAAACATGTTCTTCGTCTAAAAAGCTAGCTACTTTGCAACTTTCACCCAGACTCACTAATTTTAAGCTCTAAATGCATTTATCTATGTAAATCTACCAAAAGCTATCAACACCATTAGATTACAGCTTTCAACTCTGAGTTCCTCTAGCTCCAGACAGATTTCAGCTTTCAGCTACAAGGGGATAGCTTTTAAGCTATTGCCACAAAGAACTAGTTAGGATTATGCCAAATTGAAGCTCTAGGGATTCATATCTAAAACAGATTTAGGGGAATTTGAAGAAGACGAGATACCTTGAGCCTTCTACCGAGCTCTTTGTAGAGAAGGAAGCCGGAGAACTCTGCGGTGCAAGACCTCTCCAGGAATTCGACGAAGATCTGGCGTAGGGGGCCCTGGAGCTTGTCGGCGGCCTCCTTGAACTCGCTGTTCCTCACGAAATGTTTCTGGTTGTAGTCCGTCTTGAACTCCTGGAGCAGCGAGTCGAACTCCTCCTCCTTGAGATTCTTGTTGATCTCCGTGCTGAACAGCCTCTCCATCTCCTCGAAGTCCGTCGTGTAGAACCTCGGAGTCAGGAGGGATTCCTTGATCGCCTGCTTCTTCGCCGGCGTGGCCGATGCGGCGGTGCTCGACATTCTCACGGCGAGGGATGGCGGTTTCCGGATTCTGATGCTCGGCCGTATGGCGGCGCTGAGACTCGGCATGGGTTCGACTAAGGCCATTTCAGGGTGTTGATGATGGTGCGGACTGTGGAGTTTTCTGATAAGAAAACTGTGGTCGTGCGTGGGAACAGGATGGCTATTATCAATCGAATGACGATTTTATTTTGAAAGGGAAGGGGATTTATCTATGGAATCTCCATGGGCAAATCCAGACAGGCACGTGGCGCATTCTGGATTTGTGGCTGAGGATTCCTCAAGCGCTCATTTGCCCTCCCAGTCAATCCATGATAGATTAGAAAAGTATTTTTGATTAGCGTTTTTAAATAAAATTTTAATTTTTTTTTATTTGAAAATGTTACCGTTAAATTTTGTTGATAGATAATATTTTTAGAATGTTAACATTGAAACTCTTCCCACACAAACTTTTACGGAGTAGCAATCAACGACACAACAACAACAACAATCCAGTAAAATCTGACAAAAGTAAGGTCTATGAATAACCAACGACAATGTATGGGCATATTCACTCGTATATAAGATAATTTATGTTTGTATTTGAAAACAATAATTTTAGTCTTTATTGATTGTAAAATTCAGAATATAAAATAATAGAACAACTCTATCGAGAGAGCTTCAATTGATTTCTTCTCCATAAACTCTTGAGGGATGTTTATAAAAAAATGAGAAGGTGCAAATTTCAAGATTGAAAGTATGAAAAAGTGGTTGTAGTGACGCAACATGTTGGGTGAATCCATTTCATTGTTGCTCTTTAAGGGGTGGGCTACGATCTGGACGGCCTCTGGATCATCATCGGCCATGAGGACCATACGAGGCCGACTCTGTAACTTGAGCAAGACACCCTACGTCGCTCTGTTGGAGTAGTGGCTCGACCTCCTCAGTGGCTAGGGCCGAGGTCCTTCGGGTGGATCTGCGATTTTCGATTTTCAAGACTTCTCCATTAGGTTTGATGCTCTCCAATTGAGAGTAGTCATCATCCATTCACTTCCTGAGTAGAGTATAACCCTAATTGATAGAAATCCTTAAAGTCCTCAAGTGGACAAGGAGGATTCCATCAAGATCTTTGAAAAGTGAAAGTTTTCAAGTTTTTGATACTGGAGCCGAGGATTTAGTCTCAAGGCGAGCCCAATGATATATGAGAGTGCCCCCATTCCTTGAGTTGAAGACAAAATCTATGGTGAAGAAGAATGGTGTCATGCCTAAAATTTAAGTCCTTGCATAAAGACTAAGACGGATCCCTTGAACATGACGATGTCGTGTCTCTTAGCGTGAACGAGGACAACCATGAAAACCATGTTTCTTCCATCACTAACTACACCTTGATATATACTAATTAAAGAAAAAATTTCTCTCTAGATTATGGACTGCTATGAATATGATCAAGTAGAAGATTTTGATGAAACACCAGATGAGATTCTTTCTCTTACTTAATCCAGTCGATCCAAGTTTCTTGGGTTAAGATCTTGTTCTTCATGTTGTATCATCGCTTATGAGATTCAATAAAATGAAATTTAGCAGTATAATTTATTAAGAGAACAAAAGTAAAATACAGTACATACCTTTGAAAAGATTATGTTTAAAATTGTAATAGAAGAGAATTTTTTTGAGCAACATATTTTAGAGGGGAAAATAAACAAAGTAGACAAATGTTTTAGGGAGTTGTTTTTTCTTTATAAGAAAATCAAAGATAATTTTGAAATAATATAGAGAGAGAAAAAAAAAGAAGTGGCATTCCAAAATAAATATACTCTTCCTAAACTCCAAGTTGTTTTCCGGTTACTAATGAGGGATGAAATACAAACTAAAGACAGGTTAAGCAAATGGGAGAAAGACCAAAATAAGACTAAAACATTAAAAATATACCAAAATAGGACTTCCATGTTTTTATTCCCAAAACAGGACTTAAAACATATTTACATTACCAAACATGGTCATTTACATTACCAAAAAGTATAGTAATGTGCACATGTACAGTGTCACATTACCACAATACAAAGTCTTATTTTGAGAAAAAAACATGAAAAATCCTATTTTAGTACTTTTCTCTATGGTTTAGTCCTATTTAAGGTAATTTCTATAAGCAAATATACTCAAAGAGACATACACCTAGGAAATATCGGTGAAAACCCAGGAGATATGAATGCCACCCTTATATACACACCTAGGATAATGACAGTAGAAGTTATAAAAGTTCAAAAGAGAAACCTTAGAAATAGCAATTCATATGTCGGGGAAAATCACTGTTTAAGTCGGATAATTAACAAACCGCAGAATCATCAGAACAATAAAACAGAGCCTAGCCGAAAATCATATGAAGAACTGAAAATCCAAAGCAAAGAGAACTCTGCTACACCATAAATAGTACTTCGTATATTATTATTAATAATACACCATGGTTGTGGGGGGAACCTACCACCAAACACGGACGAGCTACTGCAACTACACTACTGATACAACAATCCGAAGCCGGGCGATCAGGGCATTCCTGAAATTTTGTCCCGACATCTGCCAAGGAAAAAAAACACTGTTGGCAACTTCATATATACATAAATTTCCGATGGTGACAGATACAGAAATATAGAACAAATTCAGTAGAGAACGCAGCATTTTGAGGAGCCGTGATTTTTTGTCCAAAAGTATTTATTTTGAACCAAAAGCGTTGCATATTACGAAATAATATATGAAAGGATTATAAAGGGCTCTCTGCAACCAATTATCAAGGAACACAAAGCCCCATGGACAGATGATCACTACAGATAGTAGTGGCATGACATATTACAACAATAGTATATGAAAGAATTAGAGAAACAATATGTTCTATGAAGATAAACATATGGTGCTGAACACACACACACAGAAGAGGGAAAAAACTGATTGCAACCATTTAAATTGGGAATCTGATTAAAGCCAATTGAAATTAAACAGATGATAAATAAAGAAGAAAATCAGAAATTTGCATAAAACTGATCAATTGTTGGAAACACCTAGATGGTAACAACATTTTTAATGAAATAGTCAGCATAGTGTGTGTGTGTGTAGGGATCGACTCCAGTCAGATGACACTTTATGGTAAGATGACATGCTACGGTCAGATGGCGCAAAACTCACCATTGCCAACTGTAAAGCTCACCTAGACCAACTGCAAAGCTCACCAGAATGTATAGCAAAGCTCGCCAATTTTTTTTCACACTTAGAATTTTTTTTGAAAAGAAATCTAAGAGGTGATGACTTTGACCCATGTCGACCACTGAATTTGACCACTAATCGCCGCCGCCGATCACCGGTCAATGGTGGTGGAAGTCACCCATTGATTTTTTTTTTTCAATTTTTCAACATCAAAATTTGGGAGCTTTGTGTGTAGGTTTTGGTGAGCTTTGCATTGAAAAATGGTGAGCTTTTTGGTTAGGGTTTGTAAGGATTTAAACTTTAAAATTTTAAAAATTCAAAGTGTGAAAAAATCTTGGTGGGCTTTTCCATACAGTTTGGTGAGCTTTGCAAATGTCATTGGTGAGCTTTGCAGTGATCAGTGGTGAGCTTTGTGTCATCTGACGTAACATGTCATCTAACCATAAGGTGTCATCTGACTAGAGTCAATCCCATATATATATACACACACACACACACACACACACACATATATATAGACATACATACATATACTTCATCCGTCCCATAAAATCATCTATGTTTGACTTTCACAAAGTATAAAGAAAATATTGAAATGTGAAAAAAGTATGGTTTAAATTTGTTTAAAAGAGAAATTTTCTGAGCCATCATATATTTTTTTCTTAAAAGGAAAGTAACTTTTTTGGGGTGGACGAAGGACAGTATAAATTAATTGACACCTCCAAGGTGACTCCTCTCGGATTCCACTTTCCAGTGTCGTGTCGGAGGCAAGCTACGGCGATAGGCTCTAGGGAAGACATGGTTGAAATCATTTCAAGATCCTTGACAACTTTTCTGTTTGGACCAAGTCTGAATTTAAAAAAATAGTCCAGAGTTTGATAAAAAATGTAGATAAAATTTTGAATAAAGTGGTGGGGAAAGCTGTGTGAAGTGGTCTTTTTTTCAAATTTTGGACTTGGAGTTTCTCCAAACATATAAGTTGTAGAGGGTGTTGAGATGAATCCAACAATGTTCGTTGTAGAGGGTGTTGAGATGAACCCAACAACATTCGTTGTAGAAGGTGTTGAGATGAATCCAACGATGTTTGTTGTAGAGGGTGTCTAGATGAATCCAACAGTGTTCAACCTGGCACTTATCGTCAAAGCCTAGATTTGGCACGGCTTTGGAAAGTGAGTCCAAGATGTGTCACCGAAAGAGAGTCAATTGATTCTTATTCACACACAGAGGAACACGCACACACACTTCATTGAAAACTCAAATTGATTATTCATTATGAATTAAACTCTTTTTTTAAAAATAAACATATATCTCAAAGAATATTTTAATACCCAATGTATAATATAACTTGAATGAATCAATAGCAACGAATGTGTTTTCTGCTGGATTAGATAAAGCACCGAGAGGTCAACATAACTAAAAATGGAGGTTACTGACCTTTATGCAGAGGATACATATTAGATATGTCAAAATACATATTCCTGGCTGACAACTAGTAAAAATATCCTCTGCAGTTTAATGACCCACACAAGCACTTCTTCCTCATTTGCACTGCTTTATCCGACCAAACCATCCCATAATCAAAGGTTAACTCCTGCATCGGAGGTATATGCCTGGTGGCAAAAAAGGCAATATGGTAATAAGCTTCACTGTTACTCCCACGGACAACTGGTTGCCAAAACACATTTGGTGAACAGCTATGGTTCATGAAACGAGCCACATTCCCATTATTTTTTGCACTAATGACAAGAGGAAATGGGATCTTTGCAGAGTTTCCATTCTCAGCATGCAAATCTTCCAATGTTGGATAGTGCCTCGAGGCATCAAATATATAGTTATCCTCCCTATAGCTTCCAATGTCATCGGCATCAATAACTTCTCCTGCATATTCACAGATGAAACAGCCTCCACGGATAGGATCCCATGACCTAAGTCCCCAGCCTCTGTTCTTTGTTTTGAAAACCTCAAGCCGGACCTTAAGACCTGCTTGAGACATTCGGTTTCGGCAATTGGAAGGGCATGGACAAGACGAACAACACTCAAGAATCATATTATTGTAGGTCATGAGAACCCCAAGTGCATTATAAGGCAGATAGCCTCTGTTCCTCTGGATACAAGGGCAGTTAGAATTGCCAGGCTGGCAGCCACCAATGCAATGACAGCTCAAAGAAGGACTAGGTGTTTCATAGGATTTTGGGTTTTTAAGAGTTGAGATGTAAGTGAAATAAGCGGGTCCCTTCTCATTATCAACATCATTAACGAGAGAAACCGGTTGACTCTCAGCACCCGAAGTTAGGTCCGGCAGGATGACCCCAGCCCTAGTACTAATACCATCTTTCCATTGCTGAATTAATTTCCACAAGACATAAGCCTCGGGCTGTCCGGGTATCCTAACCAATTTGTATTTAAAAACATTGCATCCAGAGGTATTTTTCTCTGCCCATGACTCCTGAATTTTGTATAGACCATCATAGAGATAAATCTTCCCTGTAGTCCACGGATCCTTCACGCCCCTAATAACTCTAACCTCATTGGCACGGTGAAGACTCTTCTCCAATGCAAGATTTCCCCTTTCGAGTTTCTGATCAAACATTTGTCCATCCCTTCTCTGCACTCCACCTTGGCCGGAATAAATTAGCACCTCCCCATCATCCCCTTCATCATCATACCCTCCAGATGATACTATGCTTACAGAAATGGGCTCATCATCAGCGGACAGCTTGTAATTCATATAATCTATCCCAGCCATGGTAGGAGCATGTAACCCCACCACACATAACTCCATCCTGAAGAAGAAGATATCACCAACTTCAATCCCAGGCACATTACCGACCCTCTTTGTCTGATTCGTGCGGATCCCTTTTGTCATCAGCATTGTTCCAGCCTTCAGGTCCGGGCGCCTGGCGGATCCTGGAGATGGATCACTCATCTCTTGAATTTGGGACATTTTTCTTCGGAACAAATCATAAGCCAACAATATGCGCCCAACAAGGTCCTTGTCACCGTCGGCTTTTTTGGATGATTCTACCTCGGTGAGTTTAAATGATTCAAGAAAACCTTGTAAAATTGATTCGTAATCCACCTCAACCGGAGGTTTCCCCTGATGGCCACGCATCTTTGTCTTTTTCCGCGGTCTACCCTTTCTCTTCTTAGTGCTGGAGTCTTCAACGCTGTTATCATGAAAGCCATAGCCATACTGATCACTTTGGTCACTATACTCATCATCTTCTGCAACAATCCCACTGGACCTCCTTGGTCTCCCAGAATCTCCATTTGACATTGGAGTTCTGAACGAGTTTAATGGAACAGGGGATATAGGCTGAGTGTAACCAGATGGAGGCTGTTCAGTTCGTCTGCTTGAATCATTGGGAGCCAGAAATGGGTAAAAAGGGGCAACTCCAGGAGGGAAAGGACCAACTGGAGGAACACATGTGAAGGGTGAGGGTTGGGGAGTGGCTGCAGATGACATCCCGTTTGCTGATGGAAAGACTGGAATTAAGCTCCTCATGGGCTTAATATCCAAGATCTTTGACTTATCAATCGGATCATCTTGGGGAACTGAGTTTGAAGTTGTACCTTGCTCCATCACAACAATCTTAGCAACCAGACAGTAAAGTAACAAAATTTGCTCAAAACAGCCCCCCCGGCAGCGCAAAGTTTCACCTTTTCTGGACTCTTAATTATACGAAGAGAAAAATGTATTTCCTTCTTTCCCTGCGCAGCAAAAGACCAGATGTGGCCAAATCTTCAAGAGCTGAAACCCTAATAAATACCGATACACATCTCTCCCTGCATAACCAAACCAGCGGAACAATCAACATACGCGCAAAGCCGGAAATTAAAATCTCGAGAAATCAAGACGGAATGCCCTAATTGAGCTAAATACGGGACCCAAAAACAACACTTTACACGGCAATTGAAAAAACAAATCAAAATCAAACCAGCAGAGATTCACAATAAATGAAAGTGGACAAAAAAAAATTAAAATCTAAGTGCATTAAATCTCAAGCCGAAGATTCAGAACGAATTAAACACACATGCAAAGGCATAAAGGGAGCGCTCGCAGAAATCTAGATTGAAGCAGCTGTAGACAAGCGAGAGCAACTGGGCGAGAAGACTTGGGTTCTGGAAGCGAAAATGACATGGAGAATCGAATCGAAGACGGATCAGAGATTGGAGGAGAGTGAAGAAATGAGAAATTAGGGTAAAAATACCTCATAAATTGAGAGGCACGGAGCGAGCGGAGCGGAGCGGAGGAGAAAGAGGAGTGAGGAATTCGACGGACCGAAGTGTGGATCAACGCTGAGGCAAAATGGGTCTTACCACCACGGAGTGGGGGGGGCCACGTACATATAGCCCGACGCCCCGACCCAACTCGATTGAACTTGGGAGTCAACGGAAGTACAGTAGAAAAAAAAGGGATATATAGATCCGTCATCACCGGCCGAAGTGTTAATCGATGAAAATATATTGAATATGGATATGGTAGGGGTACACCAAAATGTACTCCAAATGTACACCACCCTCCCTCTCTATCATTCATTTTATTTATTTTTAGTTTTTACTCCCTTCGTCCTATAATGATTTTCCCAGAGCATTATTTCAACTTTACGGGAATTTATATTTATTTGTGTGTTTTCATGCATTATATGATAAAATAAAATATTCTTGTCACCACTTGTTTTGTTGAACTTTTGGTGTAGTTTTTAAATATGTATGTTTTATTTTTTATTTCTATACCAATATTTAAATAAAATAGATTGAAAAAACTTGGGATTTTTCTTCGTTTTGCGAACCGGGAAGATCATTATAGGACGGAGGGAGTACTTTTTTGAATTTTTTTGCCTTTTTTGTAAGGTGATGGAGGGATGGGGGATGTTTTGGTGTATCCCTAGCATTTTCCTATTGAATAAGAGGAATGCTAGGGGAGTAGGGGTATACCATTAACCATTTGGTGTACTCCATTTCTATACCACTCATCATAAGTCATAACCCTCCATTCCAATAATTGAGTTACGCCTCACCGATTATGTGTCTGTTTGAAAATAGCGTTTACGAATAGTATTAACGTTTTGGATAAAATTTTAACATTACAGATTAACTTCGAAACGCTAACATTAAACGCGATCCGCAGATAGTATTTTCAAAACGCTAACGCTAACCATTATCTAGAAAATAATTATATGTACAATTTAATCAAAATTTAGTTATGGATAACAATTGACCGGATATTTTTTAAATAGTGTTTACATGGAATTGAAAAAGAAAATTGAAATTTTCAAATGATTATAGTGGTTTTTCTCTCAAATCAATTTGTTTCGTTGACAAAATTGTAGAGCCAAATTCTCAGAAAAGAAAGTTGTCTAAAACAGAAGTAAAATATACAGAATAATCTTTATTTCTAAAACATAGTGACATTTTATCTCGACTATTGTATTGTGATAATATGCCACTATATATTGATATTATTATTTTTGCCATTATATATTGACATTATGGACATTATAAATCCCATCTTGAGAATAAAATATTAATATTCTACCCCATAGTATTTTAGTTCTTTTCGTATGTTCTACTCAGATTTTACTATTTTAATCATTTTCTCTTCTATAAATTAGACCCGAAAAAGTTAAAAAAAACTCAAACCTGACAATTACTAATAAATGTTAATAAATTAGTTTAGTATACATTTTTCGATTATAATTTCACTAATTTGTATATTATGGTTTATTATCTTATTATGTTGGAAATTCTTATGTTGACTAAAGGTCCGTATATATTTCATGGCCTTGTTAGGAGCTACATAAACGTTTTCATACTATTGTAATAAATATTTATTTAATTTTCTTTCATACCGGAGTAATTGTAATAATATTTATTTTATTTTTACTTTATTATATTATTGTTAATTTTTTAATCAATTTCATAAACAATTGTTTTTTATAGCTCATCATAATAGTTGGTGTTAGAATAATGTATAAATTTATAAAATAATTCATATTTTATGTGTAAATAATCTATGGATTATAAACAATTAGACAAATCCTATAAAATCCTACTGATAAATTCATTAAAATCTATCAAACTCTGTGCAAACTTGAAACAATTTATGGATTTGGCATAATCCATAGATTTTAAACAATCTATTAAAATCTTTTAGAATCGTGATTGAGTACACCCCTTAAAGTATGCTCTCAAAATACTCCTTTATAATTAAATATTTTTCCAAAATGAAGTTCATGTGCCTACTCAAAGTGCATCTGTTCCTCTAGTAGGTGCATACTTAATTTGAAAGAATCATTTCGATGACTTATTCATAGTTTACATTATGAAAAATACAAAAACATTCTCCATTTAACTCTCATTCAACATACGTTTTTAACAAAACTATTAAAGAAATACATCTCAATTGTAAAAAATCATATTTGTAATTATTGCTTATTGAAGACTAATTTAAGAAAAGACCATTTTGAAAAGACCATTTTGAAAATTTCTAAAAAAAAGGTTTTTTTGCAAAAACAAATAGTTTAATAGCATTTTAATTCTAGCGCTCATTATAAATACATTTTGTTTAAATTGATAGAACTAAAAAAGGAAAAGATCAAAACAAATTCGTTGAGAAAAAAATGTTAGGGATATTTGGAACAATGTTGCATGATTTTAGACTTCTACCATTGACATTAAGGGGTCACTTTTCACATTATAAAATAAAAAATCAAAGTGGCGGGTAATTGAGGAAGTAAGGTGGCGAGAAGAGCAATATAATATCATAAAGAAAACACAATATACATCAGTACAAACTAGTCCTGGAACCCAATTTTCAGTTGGAATAAAATCTACATGCACACAATGAACACCACCACTTTGTGAGATCTTATTCGGTCTATTGTTGTGTTACGGAGTACATCCTGCATCCCAAATTACTATACCACATTTGGTTCAGCACGAAGCTTAAGAAACGTAAAATTGTGGGTGATTGAATGTGACGGAGAGAAAATATAAATAAATGAGCCACAAAAACTTTTCCAAAAGTAAAAATATGACTAATTTATGGGATGTGAATCCCAAACAGGTAGCCCCACAATTAAAATGAATTACCTGATAAATGGTTCCAAGCAAACATGGCCATATAGCTGGTTTATTCTTCTTTTGTATAGATCAGAAAAAGAAATGAACAGAGGGGAGAAGCAAGATAATACGATGTGTCTTTTACGTGATGAGGCTAAAACTACCAAAATTATGCGTTTTCTCTTACTTGAATTCTTTAATCTCAAAGACACGGGCAGTCTTGTCGGTCGAAGTAGAAACAAGGTAATCCCCATCTGAAGAAGAAGCTACAGATTGAATGACATCAGAATGTCCACTTAGAGTTTTCACACAGCTTCCCGAAAGGCTGTCCCAAATCCGTACTTTGCCATCAACGCAGCCTGTAGCCACATACTTTGATGTGCCTAACCACAACAAGCACGTCACTCCTCCCTACACAAAGATTGACACAAGCNAAAATTATGCGTTTTCTCTTACTTGAATTCTTTAATCTCAAAGACACGGGCAGTCTTGTCGGTCGAAGTAGAAACAAGGTAATCCCCATCTGAAGAAGAAGCTACAGATTGAATGACATCAGAATGTCCACTTAGAGTTTTCACACAGCTTCCCGAAAGGCTGTCCCAAATCCGTACTTTGCCATCAACGCAGCCTGTAGCCACATACTTTGATGTGCCTAACCACAACAAGCACGTCACTCCTCCCTACACAAAGATTGACACAAGCACGTAAGAGGTACATGGAGAACGTTCACACTAAGGCAATGAAAAAATTAACTTCCAGCTTTATCCAACTCCTAGTTTCTTCCAACTTATAGTTTCTTCCAGCATCCAATTTTAGAATTCCAACTGAAAAGAACATAGCCTAAAACGAAAGGAAGTGTAATGGAACAAATGATTTCATAGTAAAAACTAACCGGATGATGACACGTGCAACGGGGCACCGAATGTTGTAGATCCCAAATAATGAGCTTTTGGTCCGCGCTTCCAGTTGCAGCCCAAGGATTGCTGTCAATCAAGCATTACCAGTGGGTATAAGGTAGGAAATATCATTTTAAAGCCACGAAATTCAAGTCTTTTCCCTAATGAAGGACATATTTAAACCGTCTTCTCCTTTCCAAAAGAAATCAATAGAGATAGAGAGAAGTGCCAGTATAAGGTTTCACCTTGCTGAAAGTCCAATACATTCAATTGAATCAACATGATCACGCAAAGAGCTGACAACCTGAGAGGATTAGCAAAACAAACATGGATTAATTATTGCAGAGTTTCACTTTATAGAGATTTCTCTCGCATAGTTAATCAAAACCAAAGGCTCAAAGGTGTAGTGTCAGTATGAGTACCCTCCCGTTTGTAATGTTCACAATGTGAATCGAGCCATCCTTGGAGCCAGTGAGAGCTAGTGATGAATCTGAGCTGATTGCCAAGCATATAATCCCCTCTCGGTGGTATGGGTGGCCTAGAATGTAAAAAAGATTTGTCAAATTTATCAATCAGCTAAAGCAGTAATTTAGTCAGATCCTGTTTTTTACAAACAAATATAACCACTATTTTGCAATGAGAAACAGTGCACAACAACAGCAATCCTAAACCTATACAACCTACTCTCCTTATATCTTGGGTGGCCAACTTTATCAAATACAACACTCACTCTGTCCATATTAAATCTGCCTCATGTGCCTTTGCACAGAGTTTAAGGAAATGAAATTGTGCGGTTGAAATTTATTTAGAAAGTGAAAAAAAATTAGAGGCAAGGAAACAGCCTCTCTACTTTCGAGCAGGGGCAAGGTCTGTGTACGTGCCCTCTCCAGACCTTACTCTCGTGGGATACAATTGGGTTGTTGTTGATGTAAAGTGAAAAAAATAACATCAACCACACATTTTTTCCTTAAAAATAAGTAATTTAAGAAGATTATTTAGGGACGGACTAAAAGGAAGGTGAAAAGATTAAAAGGGGAAGAAGGGAGTAATACTTTTTCAAAAAAAAACTGATTATCGCTCTCCACTTGAAAGAAGTGATTTTTCTCAGAAAAAATGCCCAAGATTAGATCTTCATCTCCCTCATTAAAATGAGTAAGAACTTAGCATTACAGTAGGTTTGGGCGTGTTAAATCATTTCAGCATTGAATGAAACCTAAACTGAAGAAAGAATTCAATAACTATACCTTTATATCTGTCACTCTAAGTCGATATATCATTTTCAGTAGGTGAGATGGTAAGCTTTTCTTTTGTAACACTTCTTATGGATGATCTCATTATCCTTCACACTTAACATTGACTTTTTTCTATCAAGAAACACATTGGCTTTTCAAAATTGTGAATTGTGCACGTATATTCTAATGAGTGGTGTTTCCGTGCACCCAAGGTCCATGCCTAATTCTTGGACTTTCTCACAAAAGTTGTTGGGCTTAGAAGCTAATGTGGATAAGGGTCCATTTCACCCAAGCTAATGTGCCTAATTCTAAAATCCTAATCCTAATCCTAAAATCCTAATCCTAATCACAAGCCTAATCCTAATAATAATCCTAATCCTAATCCTAATGAGTCCACATTAGCAGCGTCCATATAATTGGAATGGACCTGAGGACCATGAAAGTATTTGTCTATTCTAATTTCTACTCACTAAACGCAAATATTAACAAGATCTACCTCTCACAACATGAATGCTTTCAGCAGTTCGGGGGTTCCAAACTCTTAAAGTTGCATCATCTGAGCCAGTACAAATTTTTCTGCCTACACGCAAAAGGAAATAAACATCAGAATTACATATTTGCATTTGGGACACTTTACCAACACTAATAATAACAACAACAACAACAATAATAATAATAATAATAATAATAATAATAATAGTAATCATAATAATAATAACAATAACAACAACAATAATAATAACAATTCAACAACAATAATAATCCAAAATACGGAGTATTTTCCAATAGAAAATAAGTACCATCTGGGGTGAAATCGCCACAGGTAACACTTTGTCCATGGCCTCTGAACATATTAAGACAAGCACCATTGTCTGCATTCCACAAGAAAGCAATGCCATCCTCTGAACCAGCCAAGATTAAATGCCCTCTTGGGTGCCATCTTAGCCACTGAACAACCCACAATTCTTGAGTTTATAAACCTAAATACCTAATTAACACCAAACACTGCAACCAACAATAAAGAAGAGTTTTACCTCAATTCCTTTGTCTGTACCTTCTAGTGTGCATTTCAGATTTCTAGAAGCTACATCCCACACTTTTATAAGCCCATCAAAGCTACCTGACGCAAGCAGCATGCCATCGAGACTGAATGCTACACTTGATACTGACTCATTGTGACCTACAATGAAATCTCAAAATACTTCAGTAAAGAAATACTACCTCGTCCAAACAATAGAAGTTATGTTTGACTAATGTACAACATTTTAATGTTGGTAAAGTACAAATGTCATCAATTGTGAATCATACTTATACTTTTCGAATTTATTTGTTGGTTACATGGTTTAACTAAATTTATCATATGTAACTTGTACAGTTGTACACAATTAATTTTAGGCAACTTTTGACAAATTTATAAGAAGTACCTTGCAACTCAAAAGTAAAATCTCCTTGACAAATTCTCCACATAAACCCTTTCTCATCTTCACCCCCTGTAGCAACTAAAGTAGGATCTGTGCTGCTGCAGCAGGCAGCGTAAACTTCACCTAAAAATGTTTATACAAAAGCACTAAATACTGAGAAACATTCATGACTTCATGTATAGTAAACTGTTAATTGACATCACTGGCTAACTAAACCTTTTGAGCTACATCACAGTTAGCATGTGATGAGCTGGATCCTCGTACCTTGATGAGTCCCGATGAACATTTAGTACTACTACGGTGACAATTATTAATACAATAGAAGATGCAGTTAAAAAAGAACTTTTCACAATTACATTTTTGGTTTCCGGTCAGCAAGCATTAAAGTGATGACCGTGTTCTCTGTAATTCATAAAGCCATGGATGATTGGATAGCTCGAAGTTACACGTTGGATTATGATTTCTACAAAATATTAAAAAAAACATGAATATAGCCTACCACTGTGGCCTGTGAAAATATGCACCGAATCATCTTCATCTGAAATCATCATGCCAGACAGAGAGTAACAGCAATTTAGCGATCATGCAAATGAAAAAAAAGGCAAGAAACAAAAATGACTCAAATTATATTAAAAAAAGATGTATATGTCCAAACAATACAGCTGGATAGCCACAAAATCAAGTAAAATTAACATAAGTTCTTTTCAAACACAACACCTTCTTCTCCTTCGACGTCATAATCACCATCTCCACCTTCCTCGGCATTCGGAAGTTCTATTATAAAACACAAATCCACTTAATCAGATATCCACCCTTTGAAATTTGACAGAGAAAAGGATACACACACACACACACACACACACAGAGAGAGAGAGACAAAGAGGGAAATTGAAACAGATAGACTGCAAAGGGAAAGTTACCTTCTTCATCCACTGAGATTTCTTGTATGGCATCAATTTCGTCTAGGTACACCTCTCCTCCATATCCATCATCTTCCTCTTCTTCTTCTATGGGGCGGTAGGTAGAGCTAGGGTTCATGGTTAAGCCTACAAACAGTGATTCAGGGAGTCAGAGATTGTCACGGGCAGGGACAAAGAAGACAATGGCTAGGCTATGTTTGGGAGATTGTTTTTATATTGTTATTATGTAATGTATTGCTTGTGATGGTTCAATAAATTTTCAAATCATACCTAACATCCTCACACAACGAAGAAATCACTGCTCGTAATGTTTCATTGATTCATAATGTTTTATATTCTATTTTAAAATTTTTATAATTATATCATTGACAATAATGCCCTTGACTATAAACATCAATTTTTGTCAACATAAAGATTGTCCAACCTGCAAATGCACTTTAAATCTTTCACATTACTTTCCCTCTCATTCTTTTTTAATACCCTTGAACACCATCTTCAATTTGAAGCTTCCGTGCCTTATTTTTCTAACACAACACAAGTACACATCTTTTTCTCTTTTCTTCTACTAATACCATCCATCGCATAGTAAGACAATAAAACAAACACAATATCATAATACATATTTCATAGGTTTGTAGGTTCATAATAACTAATGTGTTAATTATAATTTAGGCTATGTTTGGATTGAGGTAGGAAAAATTTTATTAGGTAGGTAATGGTAGGTAATTGAAGGGAAGTAATTGAAGGTAAGTAAAGTAAGGTAATAAGTTAAAAAATTGTGTTTGGATATTTATTAGGTAATGTGAGGTAGGTAAAACATTAAAATTACCTACATACCCTTGTTTTTTCGCACATCAAAAAATAGCAAAAAACAGAAATAAAATTGTTAAAAAAAGAGAATAAAATAATTGACAAAAAACAGCATAAAAAGCATAAAAAGCAGCAGAAAATAAGGAAAAAAACAGGAAAAAAAATAACAGAGAAAAAAAACAGAAATAAGGGCACAATAAACAGGAAAAAAATTAAACACCAAAAAAACATGAAAAAAAGATATCAATAATTGACAAAAAAAGCAGCCAAAAAGCATTAAAAACAGCATAAAAAAAGTAAAAAAAAGCATAAAAAAATAACAGCAAAAAAGTAACAGAAAAAATAAAAATAGAAGAAAAGCACAAAAAACCACAAAAAACAGAAAAAAAAACATGAAAAAAAACAACAAAAGTCAACAATTGACAAAAAACAGAAAAAAGAACTGTACCTGAAATCCTTCACACTGGAGAGAATGGAGTCGCCTGCATGTGTTGGAGTTGCGGCGCTGCGGCTGGGTTGTCGGCGAAGATTGCGGATGGGAGACCTGCGGCACAAAGAAGATCGGAGTGGGGAACGAAAGATCGGATGGAGAACGTAAAAAAAATCAAAGTGGAGAAGGGCAACAGGGGAAGCCGAAAGTTAACCTAGGTTTATCTTCAAATTGGCGGACTCAATTTTATCTGTTGAGAGGTTAAATTACTTCTCTTCACTTTGTCTTACGTATCTTAATTTTTTCCCCAAACATGATAACTTTTTCATCTCACCTTACCCTACCTCCACCTCCCTCAATCCAAACGCCTTAGTAGTCCATCCAAGACCATATTCCTTGTTTAGGTAAGCTCCACTTCAAATAACTAAGATTCATTAATATCACACAATCAAATTCGACTTTACTAAGAATCAATTTAAAAATACCATTCTTTAACAAGTACACATATGCTTCTTTCACCTCTTTTTAGCTTATACCCATATGCTTTAAGGTTATTATAATATCAATATACACACTGTAGACCAGAAGAAACAAGGCACATTAAAGCACATCAAATTGGAAATAGATTCTTTTCTTCTAGTGAAGTCTACACTAAGGCACATCAATCTCCTCCTCGGTTAGTTAAAAAGCGGTTTCTCCTTATTTTTTCAATTACTTCTACTCACCTCATCCACCACCGCTCGTACTTTCAGAGAGAGCAACGATGCAGCCTACATCTCATCAACTACCTCAGCATGAACATATTCATCAACATGGAAGTTTTTAAACTAGCTAAGTAGCTATATTGTTTGCATTTAAATTGCAGTTTACTAATTAGATTAGCACAAGATAACTAAACCTTCCTAGTGAAAACTAACCTAATCACAAAACAAATCCACAAATCATAATTGATAATAGTCTATTAAAGGAATACGGGGCATTTACCTTGATAAAAGAAATCCAAATAAGAACATGGAGATGGAGGATTTACCTTGACAGAAGAAAAATAAGGGGCGTTCTGGACTAAGGCCGGCAGAACCGATGAAACACGGGCTCACGGTGTGCGGGACTGAGGGCGGCGTTGATTGCTGAGGCGAACAGCTTCGGCGTTCGCACTCCGCAGTCAGCGAATATCCTTTATTTACAACAGCAAAAAGTCCAGCTCTGGGCCGGTTACTGTTGTTGCTTTGGGCCGTTATTTTTTTTTTTTGGAATTGTTAAATTTCCGGGCCTGTTTTATTATTTCGTACAAAGGTGTAATACATATTAAACCACTTTACTAAAAACTGTAATACTAGGTCCAATATTCAAAGCCGTTTTTTACATTCTACTATGTATGAATATTAATAAAATCCATGAATTTAAAATAAAATAATTAAAACAAGTGCCTGTTTTTTAAAAAAAATAAAAAATTTGGATTTAACCTATTTTAAATTATTAATCTTCATATTATTTTTATTATTATCAATACTCCGTATTATTTTTCCTACTACTACAAATATTTTAAAGCTATAATCAAGAAGCAGTTTGTACACAGAAAAAGGGAAAAACAAAAAAATCACCACACACTGCCCCACGCATGCTGCCAATGCAGAGGAATAATTGTTATTTTGCATTATAGAAGGAAAAAAAATCCATCCCACTTAGGTCACTTCCCATGTTTTGTGGTGTGAAATTTCCCCACTTTTCACTATCCGTTATAAAAGCAGGAGTACACACCACTTCTTCCTTATAATATTACTTCTATTCATCTCTCACAGCCCAACAAAAGTCAAAACAAAATGTCAGATGCATCGAGTGGATGCAGTGGTCTGTGGTATGATATAAAAGATTTGGACGACCGTAAAAACAAGTGGGCAATACGCGTTCGAGCTATTCGTGTATATGATTTGTCCTCCCGTGATGGAAGGCTAAATACAATGGAAATTATTTTTCATGACTCAATGTTAATCATTTTGTAATCATCATACAATATGTATTCCGCCAAATTTGCCATAATTTCAGGGTAACTTATTTCATTTTCTTTGAAAAGGGGAAAAAGGATTCACGTCCAGGTTAAGAGGCCTTAAATGACACAGTGTATGACATGTATGGCTTCCATGGATGGTTTTCATAGCACAAAAGAGCTAGGAATCTTTAACTCTTGAACTATTACTTTATACTTGTGCATGTACGTCTTCACTCTGAGAGATTCAGGGCAAAACGACATACAACGTATATAAAGAAATCATGCATTTAATGTTAGGATCATTGCGGCTTGGGCTGTTATGAAATAATAGAAAGCACAATTTGATTAGGGAGAAAAAAATGTTTAAGACAGTGGGTTATAATGAAGTAGTGAGCAATGGTGTTTTACATCTCCAGACTTCAGGAATAGACAAACGAAAAGAACGTATGAATTTTACCCTTAAAAAGACCGACCAAAGAAGGATTGCGGATTGGGTTTTCGACAGTTAAATTTATTCAACTTGGCCCTTCTCGTAAAGACTAGATGGAACCTTCTTTTGAGACCTCAGACCTTGGTGTATCAAGTCCACAAGGCTTGGTACTTTCCTAACTCTGATTTGTTTTATGCATGCCGAGGAAGTAACTCGAGTTTTGTTTGGTGATCCATTTCAAGGAAGGAGGATCTTAGAAAAAGGGTGTTTTCGAAAGATTGGTAGCGGGAAGAAACACTGATAATTCGTAGCCCCTGGCTCTTGCAAGAAGGCAATCCTTTCATAAGGAGCGTCTTATCGGTGGAGTGGGAGAATCAGAAGGTTGCAGATCCTATTACACCAAGGTCTGGCCCTTGGGACAAAGGGTTACTTCATGCATTGTTTGGGGAGGTGGATGTGAATGAAATTATGAAAATTCCCTTGAGTCGTCATGTACGTGAAGATAGAAGGATGCAAATGCATGATCGAGACAGAAAGTATGCAGTGAAACAAGGGTACCATCTCTTGACAAATAAAGTGGAAGAGGAGGTTAATCAAGGGGGCCGAGCAAGGAGTTGTGGCAATTCATGTGGAGTTTACTAACCCCACTAAAGGTCTGAAATTTCCTTTGGAGGCCGTTGAATGATGTAGTACCATTGCGGTCGAACTTGAGGAGAAAAAGAGTCGATGTTCATAAGACTTGCCCATGGTGCCTTACTCTTGAACTACCGATGTGGGATGACACTCTAACACTCCCCCTCAAGTGGACAACCGGGCCATTTTGAATCTAACCGGTTGACCACTTGCAAATAAACTCTCATTCCTTTTTTTTGAGCGCCAACACCTTAAAGGACCACGAGTCGCTGGGTATGGACTTCCAGACGAACAATCGTGTTAAACGGGCCACATGCCGTTGGGTACATACTCTATACGGACAACTGGGCTAAAGACTAACGGGCCGCTAGGAATGAACGTCTAGACGGACACATTAACAAACGAGGTGGGCCAAAACCTGCTCCGATACCATGTCAAGGAACCAACTCAACCAAAAGCTCAAGCTTAAGGTTGTGGCCCAGGAAGAGTTATTTATATTCTAACACGCCCCCTCACGTGCAGACGTAGTTTTTTTCGAGCCTTGCACATGAAACTTTAATTTTTTTTAAAAATTGGGTGGCGCTGAGTTTCGAACTCGTGACCTCCTAGCTAACAGAGACGGTTTTCTGTAGCTTTGTGCGACGTTTCTATGAAGGTCATTGTTTGCAGATCTTGGGAGAAGACGAACATCACACACAAACCCTACCTTAATGGGTTGACGTTGTGCGAATAGAGAAAATAGAGAGCAAGTAGCAAGAGTGTCAGTGACACTGTGGGAGATGTGAGGACAATGTAATCAATTGATCTGGAATAATAAAAACATGCATCCTCCCACATTGGTAGTTAAAGCACTCCATTGGTGGGATGTGTGGAAGGAGGCTAATGTGAAGCCTAAAGAAGTTTCATATAGGCAAGGAGTTGCTCCTACAAGATGGAATCCTCCAGATCCAGGTACTTTTTAAGTGTAATGTCTATGCTAGTATTCTTTTATCTACAAAGGTTGCAAAAGTGGGCATGGAAGTACGGGATAGTGAAGGACAGTTCGTCAAAGTGGCACATCGATGCTTGAAGCTAATGTAAAATGCGCTGATGTTAGAAGCACTGGAGTCGAGAGGTGTTGCATTGGCTTAAGGAAGAGTTTAGTTAACAAACGATCACCCTCGAAATAGATAATCAAGTACTCTATTATGCTTTGCGGGCTGAAATAGATGATAACTCATATTTTGCAGGGATTTTTTGTGATTGTAAAAGATTAATGATGAGGTTTTGTCTCTGTCACTATTTTGTTGTTAGTGTCGTTATCTGTTAGAAAATTTGCGAATCAAGTAATTCATACTAGGGCGACTAATTCAACGTCTGATTTCATTGAGTGGGCCTTTAATTCTCCGCTCTTTATTTGTGATGTGTTGAGATTTGATATGCTAAGTTAATGAAAATTACCATTTACTTTCAAAAATAAAAAATTAAAAAAACAAACATCATCTATGGAGTATATAGGCCAAACAACTGATCCGGGCCTTAGCTTATTGTTGTTGAAGAAAACCAAGCCCACTCCCATAGTCCCATTGGCCATTGCTAACTTTCCAGCACAGTCCGCGAAGAGAGCATCGGATGATCTGAACAGCGAGAGGCGCTCACCGGAAATGATGAGAGGCGCGAGCGCTATGGCGGCATTTCGGGCGGGACTCCGATCTTACTGTACCCACAGCGCTGACGCATTTCAGAGCTCTAAAATTAGAATCTTCGATCGCCATCTTAAACGCAAACAGGTACTGAAAATCTCCCGGTTATTTTCTCCTTTTTATGTAGTTCAAGCATTATACGGAGTACATAATATGGTTATGGGATTTGCTTTCATTCTGAATAAGCCTACCCAAATTGTAAACAAGTCAAAATTATCTGTATTCATGGAAATCCCTTCAATCTATACCTCTAGTTTTACTCTCTCAGAATTATTTTATGTTAATCTTTTCAAATTTCTTCCTCCGTATGTTAATTAAATTGATATTCTTCTTTTTCTTTGGGAAAAGAAGTGCATTTTGTAATTTTTTTTCTTTTTCTGAGAATTGAGGAGCGCTATATTTCAGCTATAGGTTTTCCTTTCTTTCGATTTTTTAATATTTCTCTGAAGTTTTGATGTTTTCCTTATTTTTTGATATTTTCTGAATTTTATCCGAGATGGTAGAGAAATTTTGCATTTTTGCTCCCCGCTGGTATTTGAGATTTCAAAAGATTGAAATTTTGGAATATTGGGATATTTTCATCATTGGATATGCATTGTACTTTTTTTTCTGCACAAGTTACAACCAATCGAAACATTTGGGACTACGTAGATTTGGCATGATGCCATTATAAACACAGACACACATAATGTGATACACAGACATAATTAAAACTTTATTTTTAATATGATTTAGAAATTGAAAATTGTAATGATAATATGAAGTAATAGATTTATAGATTATTCTGGGAAGGGGTATGTTTTTGAAATGACAGGTAGTGTGAAAGACATAGCTACAGGTTCCACCGGTTTCCATCACAACTTTGGGTTTATATATTTTTCATTTTCTTACCTGAGCAGCGTGATAGAGCAGCTTGGTTGATGCGCCCCAATGATTCTTTGCTTGATACTGTTTGTGAGAATTTACTCGATCGTTTGGAGGCAAGTTAAGAGTTTCTGTGTGTTTCATTTTTCATAAATATTGAATAAATATTTGATTGATATACCCCTTTGTGCTTGTTAGGACTGTAGAAAAACATTTCCTACAGCACTGTGCATGGGGGGATCTATGGAAACTATCAGGCATTTGTTACGTGGGCGTGGTAAACCATAATCTTACTTGAGCATATTTTACTTTTCCTTGCCACTACATATGTAATAATGGATATTCGGAGAGAGTTTTATGTAAAATATAGGGATTATTTACTATCCACCCAAGGCCAAATCATTTTAAGGTTCATTAATTTGCTTATTCGTATAAATACAATACAAAATTTTGAATTACATAATTGGCTGTTCTATAAAGATATGGACATATTCAAATACATAAGTGAGGTGTGTTTATGTTTCTTGCAGAAAGACAGTTTGTTTCGGAAACATGTCATGTTCTATATTATCATATGATACTTTGGAGTACTCTGTAATTTTCAAAATGTCATACTATGTGAAACTGTCCCATGCGACCCCTTGAATCTTTGATCCTTTTTCTAGCACTAACAATTTCATATTTTATTTGAATGCATTATTAAATTTGAAATATAATGATAGTTGGAATACTTCTTTCTTCACAGGTGGTATTGAAAAACTAATTATGATGGATACATCACCTGACATGATCAAACGATGTAAAGATGCTCACCATGATTGCCCCAATGAGAAAGTTGAAACGTCATTTATTCTTGGCGATGAAGAGTTTTTGCCTCTTAAAGAAAGGTGTGCGTATAAGTAGCCATAATAATGTCATGAAATGGCTTAAGAGCCTTTGGTTATGATACTCTGACTATGTGCACAATACATGTGTTTTACCAGAACTGATTATTTATCATCCTAAATATGTTGGAGGTTAAAGTTCCTTGGATCTTGTTATTAGTAGTTTGGGCCTGCACTGGACAAATGATCTTCCTGGAGCTATGATCCAGGTATGAACTTATTGATTTTTCGAGTTATATTATTTTCTGAAATCAGGCTGGCATTTACTTCATTTTTGTGTTGATATTCTTTCTTTTACCTTTATCCATAATATTTTTCTTCTTCTTAGGAAAAACATAATGGGTATGGTTGGTTGCGTATTTTACTCACTGGAAATTACTTGATTATTCTGGTGTTTGTTGCATGTATGACAGTGTAGATTGGCACTGAAGCCAGATGGTCTATTCTTGGCAGCTATTCTCGGGGGAGAAACATTAAAGTTGTGTCTTCTGTTTAATCCGGTATTCAAACCTTTGACAATACATTTTGTTTCTAAATCATTTGACATTTTCTTCTGAACATGTTTTCGTGTAGGGAACTGAGAATAGCATGCACTGTGGCTCAAATGGAACGTGAAGGAGGCATTAGTCCACGGATGTCACCTTTGGCACATGTATGTTTACGTATTTTCTGACAGCTGCTGTAATGTTTCCTTAATTCCTTTTTAGTCCTTGGCATTCCCTTCCATTTTTCATTCGGCATATTTCAGATTATTCTAGATTTCTAGTGTAGCAATCCTTTTAAAATCTACATGCCATATATGGCCCAAGTATAGATCATAGTCACATAAATTGCGGTATGCCTCGGTACGGGTACGCGGTACGGGTATGAAATTCGCTAGATGTAATGAATTCGGTACGAAGGGGGGTAGGTTCGTTTCGGTACGAAGTGGTACGAAGCGGCACGGTGTACCATGTATTCGGTTCGGTGTACCAAAAGTCAAAACATAAGTAAACAAAAATAGATAAGATGAGCATAAGTGCATAACATTACAAAATCCAATTGAAAAACAAGACATCATCTAAAATATTCTAATCTAGACGCTGCCTTTTTCCTCTCCCATTGTCAAAGCCTTCATCAAGGTCTTCCCAAACCATTTCTTTAAGGCGAGCACTTGAACCTTCTATGTATGTATTTTCAGGATTCACGTCCCAGTTTTTGTGAGGGCCTGATTTGTAGGACACTGAAGTCGAATATTCAAGTGAATAAACACAAGTTTATCGGCTCTCTTGTAATTCAAGCGATTCCTCTTGACATTATGGATATAGGAGTATGTACTCCAGTTTCTCTCTGCCGAAGAGCTACTAATTGGCTGAGACAAAACTTTCTTAGCTATTTCCGCCAATTCAGGAGTCTCAGATCCATATGTTGCCCACCAATCAATTGGATCCATTGTCACGGCATCAGCTTGTGTTGCTGCCCTAGAGTAAATCCCTTTCTTCATATGAAAGGTTGCAAATTGTTCTTTTAATACCTTATCTTCATGAGCATCTTCAGCAATTCTTTGAAATGCATCCATAACACCAAGTACAACTTCTTTGTCATCATTTGGTGCTTTTCTTGCCATGCCACGAGGAGCCAACTTCTCTAAGTAGTATTTATCATAAAATCTTGGATTTAAAGCAAAACCCAAACAATGAAGTGGGATTGTCATTTTCTCCCACCTATTTAAAACAATTCTTTGAACCTCAGAAAAAGAAGATGAGTACTTATTTTCCATTATAACATCTTTGATTTCTCCTACCATGCTATCCATTTTTTCATAGATTTCTCCCATTTTTGAACCTTCCCCATCACAA